TTTCTCCACCCCGTCGCCAATTGTTATGACCTTGGATGGCTTTTACCCCGTTATACTTGTTATGACTTGACCTTGACCTTGACGCGCTAGGCTGAGTGACTTAACCTTGAGTCTAATACGCGTGAGTTCGATTGGGGTAGAGAGAACTATTCTAAATCCTGATTGGCTGGCAAGCACGCGAGTGAAAGAAGACAAGACAGTTGGAACACTAAACTGTGGATTCTCTGAATTCGGATTACTACAAAAAAGTACATGAATAAATAAGTGAACATCTTGACCACGACGTACGATAATTTGGAAAAATACAGTTATGCCCGAAACAGGGAATTAGGGTAGAAAATATAGTGCAAAATATAATGTTTAAATTACAATATTTTTGGAACAAAAAAGGGTATGCTAGTGAATGATACATAGAACGAAAGCTCGTGTTATGTAGAATAAGATAGGGACAAAAATAAATATAAGTGTTTTACAGGTTTTGAATGAAATGCAATAACGTCCCAAGAAAATAGCTTTCGTAATTGTCTGGGCTCCTTAATTCCCCGTTCATAACACCTTCCCCCTTAAAAAAAAGAAAAAAAAATATGGTTAGTTACTATATACAGGTAAGTACTGAGATATCATCATTGATATCTTCCTTCGGAAACGTATGTTCTCCTCTTTGGGTCTACCTGTAGAATATCTGGTCTTCTGCGTTTCCGTGATGCTTTCCTAATAGGACCTTGTTCAGGTTGCGTGGTCTTCTGAGTCGCTGAGCATTTTATGTCAAAACTGTCCAGAATGATTCTCCACATTGAGTCTAATTTCTCGGTTTTCTGTGAAGTGCCAGCATTTTCCAGTATGTGGTTGACATGGCGTGTCCACTTCTGTCCTTCAACTTCCACCACATACATTACGTTCCCTTGTCTCTTAAGTATGCGTCCACTGGTCCATTGTGGAGGTGAATATCGGAAATCGCGGACGTATACTTTTTGATTTCTTTGGAAAATTCTGCGTTTTGCCCCATGATGGCTATCAAATTGGTTTTCCATCTTTCTGTTTCTTTTTCCGATGTCTATTTGCTGTGGTTTTATGGCATCGAGAGCAGTTCTTACTTTTCTACCAAACATAATTTCTGCTGGGGACATTTGATTTGGTGTTGATGGGTTTGGAGTTGTTCTATAGACCAAAAGAAAGTCATCAAGAATCTCCTCTATCTTTCCCTCCCCTTTTGCCTTCAGTAGCGCTCTTTTGAAGGTATCTACAAACCTTTCGGCCTGACCATTCGATTGTGGATGGTACGGAGGTGAAAAGACATGTTTGACTCCAAACCTCTTGCAGAAATCTGAGAAGATGGAAGAAATAAACTGAGTGCCGTTATCTGTCACGAGAACATCTGGAACTCCAAAACGGGAGAATAACTGCCGTAGCTTCATGATAGTCTGTTGCGAAGTGATTTGATTTATAGGAAAAATCTCCGGCCATTTTGAATAAGCATCAACACAAACGAGGAAGTACGTACCCTGGAATGGGCCAGCAAAATCAACATGTATACGCGACCAACATGATAATTATTGGTCTATTCCTGCGCATCCACAACAGTATCTATGTGGTTGCTTCACAGGATTGAGCTGTCTTATACAGATTGTGGCGTTAAAGCCTATATGGTGTCTAGTTCCCCTTTGAAGTGGGATTGAGCTGTATTGCTATGGTTATGAAGTTTAATCCATGATGGTGTCTGGTTCTCCTGTTAGACGGGTTTGAGCTGTATTTTCTGGGTTGATACGTGATAGTCTGGATGGTGTCTGGTTCTCTTAATAAGTGCCCTGACCCACAGGGGTATATTTTGCAAATAATATAATGTGACAAATGTACGGCAGGGATCACTTAGTTATGGGCACGCCCCTATTTAAGCAGCCAGAGATCTAAGATGACAAGACCCAACAAATACCTCTTAGGATACTTCTCAACTCCTGACGTTTGTTTCGATCATATTCATCTTGATTTGATAGGGCAGAGATTCAAGGGAATATTCTTATATCTCAAAGTGTCTGGACCATGGCACCGTTTCACATGAGTGGGTTGTGACATGTACTTATATCTTCACTTTTATTCTCCTGGACGACTGGAAAAAACTAAAAACCGACGATAAAAACAATTATTCGTGGTTTTCATCGTACATTCTTATTGTAATATCGTACCACATGACTTCTGAAATCAGGGAAAGACTACCAAACGCTGCTTAACATAACAAGCTTTTGAAAGAGTGTTTACGAATGTCAGACTCTTTGGGTTTTGAGATTTTGGCTGGTAACGTGGGGTGTAGTAGTGAACAAATCCCAAGATTTACAGTTCTGTAGGTTTGCGATGTTGATGGCCAAGTCCTTATTTTTACTGGAAATACCCTATCTCAGTCGTTATTCCACAGCAGATTTCCATGAGTCACATAAAGTCATACATCTGTGTGGTATTTTAAAGTGTCTGATTTATTATTCGAACTAGGAACCCTCGAAATAGCGCGTTTTAGATCAAACACAGCTAGGTGGGCACAAAAGAACGTATTGTATTGAGAATTCAAAACTAGGGGCATATCAAGTACAAATGAATTATTAATTTATAAAAACGCAACAAATGACACAACCACCATATCTTAAATTGGAATCTAAGTAACTGTACTCGATTGTACGTGAAGATGGCACAGGTATACAGTGTTTGACAACGCTTTAACCAGTAACACCTAATATGAAACGTACCCACCAAGAGAAATCAAAAGACAGAATCGAGGAGATCGGAAGTTATATTTGATGTGATATCAATATATCGAGAATCGTCTGATTTAATTTGGCTAGCGATTGCAGTAAATGTTCAGCACGGCGTTCCCACACGTGATCTGGTGAGGATGCATAACCGAGCGCCTTCAGCTTGGTGAGTCCATTAAAACATGTGGTCACCATCCAATGTCGAAAACTCACAGAGCTGTTTATTTTGGGGATTTAGTTACCGCTACATACGTTTTCTCCTTAGGTTCATTGTATGTCTGTCAGACTGTACACTGGATAGATACTGTATATTATCTTGAATATACTCGTCAGTATTAGAATTAAAAATTGAAATCTGAAAGGACTCAACTGGTTCCTTCACTTGTATCTGCTCAACACGTCAGCTGTGTGCACTTGAATAATTGATACCTAGCGTTTGTACGGTAGATTTCTTGACATTCTTTACCACAATCCTCTTGACTATTTGAAGATCATTTCCACGATAGTACGCAACGTTTATAGACTTTAATCACTACATATTCGAGCGAAGAATCCTACTTGTTATTAGCTATGATGGATACTCTTTCTTTAATGAATGTTTAGCATTTCTATATCGCAATAGAAATGTAGCTAGTTTCTTCTCCAGTTCATCCTTGAATGGCCACTTTGTGTCCAGTAATCCTCAATATCGAGAGGTCAGCAGAGGTGCCCTACAACGCTAGAATTTAAAGATATCTAGCTCGTGAATGCAATAATGAACACTATACTGTATCTGTCTACAATAAAGTCATGAAATAAACCAAGAGATGAATTTAAACGCTTTTGAATATGAACATTCTTTTTTGGAATGGTGGATAAAGATAAATGATCGTTGTAAACACCCTAATTAATGGGATCTAAAATAAATTGTTTAGTACAACTTGAAGCAATATGAACAGTAGTTTCGTATGCTGACTGAATGTGTCCTACTTTCATATTTAAAACATTTAGCATTACGAAACGGAGATGAATTACGAAAACGAAATTTGCCAGAGGATAAACATTTACCAAACTTGCCCTCACCTTTGTGGTTTGCTTTGCGATTCCTTGTTGATCATCATTAAACAAACGCGAGCTTGATCGACCCTGAGATTGTATTTCATCATGGAGACTAAGCAAAGTGTAAGAACGTTTCGCCGGCTGGATATCAAGTTCATTCATTGCTTCGTAATTGATAAGTGTATTTCTGGCATCTTGTAGAGAACAGTTAGGCATTTTAACAGTTATCTTTCCATATCTGGTATGTCAATTATTGAAACCAGTCGATCTCGCAGCTGCACATAAAGTTGATCACCAAGGATGAATTCACTAATCTTTTAGTTATTCTGACGAATCATCTCATGAAATTCTGCTCTCTCACGACATTAAAAACTAGTGTACTTTACGTGATTTAATAATAGGTTCTTAACAGTTGCATGGGGATGTGAAATAGGCTTTTCTGGAAATGGCAAAGTTTTCTTTAAACTGTAGGATTCTTTTCAATGAATGCATGGAAATGTGCCACAAGTTTACCATCTTTCACACCTTTCCTGGCGATGCTCCTGATTTCGATCATTTCCATATACTTGTTAAACACTTCAGAATTTTAATTCCTCTTTAACTGTTCCATATAAGGTCTAATCGCAATGTGATGCTTGGAAGTATTTGAATTACTGTATAAACCAGTGGATCTCGAGATAGTGTAACTTACAGTAAATAGGTCTATATGGGCGCAAAGGAATGAATCGTATTAGAATACGAAATCAGATGGAAGTCAAGTATCATTAATTCGTGCAAACACCTCATTCCGTCTCAAAGGTTAGTCAGTCTATACCATATACTTGTCAACGCACCGACTATCTACCAAACATAACCCTGAACTTCATTCCTGGCTTCTTGTTCGACTGAGACTAGTTATAAAGCAGTTACCAACAAAGGAATTTTTAAGTCCTGAATAGTTGTGACATCTTCTGATGCATAGCTGGGATCATTTACCCTAGGATACTTCGGTAAGTCGAGAACGAACTGGATGAATAATATAGTTATTTATTTTGGTGATTTCCTCAGCTTTACAAATCTTATGCAGTTATCAAAGATTTGACGCATTCATCAAGGTATAATATGAAAAAGTTGACGCAATCCTCAGGTCTTGTCACCCTAATTCAAGAATAAATAATTGAGATTGCCTATTGAAAATTTTTGGATTTACTTTAGAATGTTAGATTTCGTAGGTTATTTTTTACCCGCGTATTTTCAATAACATAGAAACGTGTAAACATTATGAGTTTAAGTCTTAAAGGTTCCCAAATAAGTCCATGCAAGTCAGCAGTTAGCAGTAGTCGTTCGACCACAAGAATATATAATGTAATTTGTACAATGTTTTGGATTTCACTTAACCAGGCTTTGGTTTTGAATAATTATACTCTAAAATTCATAACATGTCAGAAGTTCTTTTGTTTGCAGCTTTTCTCAAAATATGTATTTTCATATAATAACAAGCAAAGAAGTAAGAGGCAGACGTCTCGGGGCTTCCGGAGAAACTTTACAGATACAGTTGAATATGCCCCATTAATTTTGCATATCATACTGTGAATGTATTGAATTCTATTTGATTCTTGAACAGTATGTTCGAAATAAAGTGTCTTCTTGAAGTTTAGACAGTGTGTTAAGAAGTTGGTCCTTAGGACTGACAGTTAGTGCCTCAATAATTAACTATTTATATCCGACTACTTTGTTCTTGAATTTAGGATGTTTAAATTAAGGCTTTAATGCAAGATTTCAGTCTAGACTGTCAATTTAAGATTTGCCTTTAGTCGTTTTTTTCTATATGAATGAACGCTTAACGTTGTTATCATCGTAATTGCGGGAGTTTGTATTGATAATAAAAATTGCAGAGTGAGCTATTTTACAGCAACACGTTTTTTGTGAAGAAAAGAATAATCATATTTATCATTTGAGCCTTGCGTTTTGTCGTTTCCTTAATTGACCATAGCAACTTGTCTAAATAACTTTGGTGTATGATAGCTGACACGATAAATTTTGATCCCACTTTCCAGGTAGACTAATGATGAAGGCATACTTTACGTTTGATTGTTAAACTTTGCAGTATGGAATAATTCAGGTGTTCATAAACGAAAATATTTCGGTTAAGTTTCGTTACTGGTTAGCCTAATGAATTTACCATGTGCAACGATATCATACAATCAGCCACAAGTTTTTTTATAATCTGCTTTGTGCTGAAGATGTCACAGGTATTCAGTGTTTGACAACGCTTTTACCAGTAACACCTTCTAATATATTTCGTTCCCACCCAGAGAAATCAAAAGACAGAGTCGAGGAGATCGGAAGAGTATATTTGGCGATGACCAATATATCGGAATTCTCTGATCTAATCTGGCTAGCGATTGCGGTTGATGTTGAGCACGGCGTTACCACACGTGATCTGGTGCGGATGCCTGACCGAGCGCCTTCAGCTAGATGAGTCCACTAAAACATATGGTCAGCATCCAATGTCGAAAACTTACAGAGCTATTTATTTTAGGGATTTATTTACCACTACAGATCACTCCCCCCCTAGTGGGGCAGTGATGTCCCTAAGACGTGGCCAGCCAGAAGTTTAAACCCAACGACTTTGTCGTTGGTAAACACTCTTCTGATAGCTTACTAAGTGTAGCAGCGTCTGGTCGTCTTTCCTTACTATATGGGACGGTGGTACAACATAGTAAAAAAAGAAAATGTACAATGAAAAGTTCGGATCCTCATAAACGTCATCGTTCTTTTCCAGCCGTCCTGGAAAAGAAAAAAGAAAATGTAAGTGCATGTCGAAAGTACACTCGTATGTGCGTAAAAACACAATGTCGGCGGATAAAAATGGAAAATAAACTCATGAACACGTAATAGCGTTAAAAAAATTGTTTTTTTTGTTTTGTTTTTTTTTAAAATAGAAATTAAAATATATAAGCATATTAAAATTGTTTTTTGTTTTTAAAAAAAAATAATATAAAATGTCGAGAAGTGCCTTACGTGCAATAGTCGTTTAAATGTTCTGGAAATCTCACCCTTCTTCCAGAACGCGTCGTTTTAAGTTTATTTTCGGATACTGTCGAAGTATCATCGTGTGTGTTGGTTGTCGGATGAGGTATTATAAGTGTCGGAGTCGTGTCGTTCGATTGTACCGAAGGAAGATCCACGTAGATAGGATTTCCTTCTAAATACGCTGCTTTTAAGCGATCGATGCTGATGCTATCGTTGGTTCCGTTCTTATCGACTATATAGTACTTAGATTCACGTTGAAGAACTTTGAAGGGTCCTTCGTATGCTGATTCGAATGGTCGTCGATGCGAGTCTCGACGAATGAAAACGTGTGTACTATATCGTAAGTCAGGTTGAACGAATACATCAGTTGATTGAGGTCGAGTGGAAGCAGGTTTAACTGAACGCATTGCGTTTGTAAGCCTGTTCGTGTAGGAGGTTAGATCCATGTTCATTGAAGAGGATGAAGGATCCACGAAGTCTCCTGGAAGTCGAAGTGTCGTTCCATAAACGAGTTGAGACGCAGTGTATCCAATGTCAGCTTTCACTGCATTGCGGATACCTAGTAAGACGAGTGGAAGAGCGTCGGTCCACTGTGAAACGTTTGCAGCTGATAGCGAAGCTTTCAGTTGTCGGTGAAAACGTTCTACCAACCCGTTTGCTTGTGGATGGTAGGCGGTTGTTCGGAAGCGAGTGATTCCTAAATGTGTGGTCAGACGACGGAAAAGATCGGATTCAAACTGACGTCCGCGGTCTGTAGTGATGGTTGAAGGGCAGCCGAAGTTTGCTACCCATCGTTCGACGAAGGTGCGAGCCACTGTTTCAGCAGTGATGTCCTTGATAGGTACTGCTTCTGGCCATCGAGTGAAACGGTCTACGCACGTTAAGAGATAAGAGTATCCATTTGAATCTGGTAAAGGTCCTACCAAATCCAGATGAACATGGTCGAAACGAGCATCGGGAGTTTTAAACGGGCCTAAGGGACATTTATTGTGTCTGATGACCTTAGATTTTTGGCAGCTTACACAGGAGCGTGCCCACTTCCTCACGTCTTTATTCATTCCAGGCCAGCAAAACCTTTCTGCTATAAGCTTGATGGTTGCACGAACACCTGGATGAGAAAGTTTGTGCAATGTGTTGAAGACATTGCGTCGATAATGTTTCGGCACGATTGGGCGATCCCTACCTGTAGATGTGTCACAAAGTAAGGTTTCCTTACCTGTTCCCATCTGTTTGATGCGTAGTTTAAGTGTTGTGGACGATAACTCGTGCTGAAGATCAGTGTCTTCTTTTTGAAGCTCGGCGAGTTTAAGAAGGTCGATTCCTTGGAAACTGTTCAAGGAAGTTATACGAGATAAAGCGTCTGCAACTACATTGTTTGCTCCAGAAATATGTTGAATATCTGAAGTAAACTGCGAAATGTAGTCCAGTTGTCGAGACTCACGGGGGGAGTACTTGTCAGAAGGAGAGCTTAACGAGAAAGTGAGTGGTTTATGGTCCGTGAAAAGAGTGAATTCACGACCTTCGATGTAGTGTTGGAAATGCCGTACAGCACAATACATAGCTAGGCGTTCCCTACCGAATGTGCTGTACCTCGATTCGGTGTCTAGCAACCTTCTAGAGAAAAATGCCAAGGGTTGCCAGGAGTTGTTAACCCATTGTTGTAAGACCCCTCCGATTGCTGAGTCGGATGCGTCTACTGCGATGCTAATGGGTGCTCGGGTGTCCTGATGTGCAAGCATTGTTGCTTTAGCAATCAGTACCTTAACTGTGGAGAATGCTTTTCGTGCGGTGTCGTCCAAATTAATGGATTTCGCATTTCCACGAAGTTGGTCGGTCAGAGGTTTCATAAGTAATGCGCATTTCGGTATGAAACGTCTATAGAAACTTACCAGGCCGTTGAACGTGCGCAATTGCTTGACGGTGGTCGGTTCTGGGTAATCCACAATTGCCGTCACTTTGGTTCTAAGGGGTCGGATACCTTGAGCATCGATAGTGTGTCCTAGGAAATCTAACGAGTCGGTTCCGAATTGGCATTTCTGAACGTTTACAGTAATGCCATGTTTTTGTAGTCGTTCGAAAACAAGATCCAGATGCTTGAGATGTGTTTCTCTGTCCGGACTTGCGATTAGACAGTCGTCAACATACGCGTGTACGAAGTTGAGACCTCGAAAAAAAATAAGGCAATGATATATAAAAATCCCAAAAAGGAACAGACTCACAGTTGCAATAAGGTGTACCAGATCACTCAGGTCTCACCAATGAAGATGTCACAGGTATTCAGTGTTTGACAACGCTTTTACCAGTAACACCTTCTAATATATTTCGTTCCCACCCAGAGAAATCAAAAGACAGAGTCGAGGAGATCGGAAGAGTATATTTGGCGATGACCAATATATCGGAATTCTCTGATCTAATCTGGCTAGCGATTGCGGTTGATGTTGAGCACGGCGTTACCACACGTGATCTGGTGCGGATGCCTGACCGAGCGCCTTCAGCTAGATGAGTCCACTAAAACATATGGTCAGCATCCAATGTCGAAAACTTACAGAGCTATTTATTTTAGGGATTTATTTACCGCTACAGTGCTATGAAACACAAGCTAGTTGTTTCCAAACTCATTTCATCCATCGATTTTATCAAGGTCTTCGAAAAAAATCGCTGCATTCCAGAAATGGTTGTAAAGCATTAAAATCTGTGAATTAGCAAACATAACAGATATATATTTTAATAAGCCGCTGTTTACGATTTATAACTAAAATCTTCAAGTATCAGTTTGATAAATTGAATAAATTACTACATCAGAACAATTCTAGGTATGTTTCAATGGCAACAGCAAAGGGTTGTAAGTACATAATAAAAGTCATAAAAACTCATAACAATTAGCACTATAATTTACTGTACATAAAACATGTGAGTCAAACAGGAATTCGTCTTCCACTATAATTTTCGTACTGACTTCTTCATATGAGAAGTTCATATCATTTTGAGTTGCTACGTAAATGTAAAGCTGTAAGAATTGCTGCTACAAACAACTCATAAAATAAGCATAATTTATGCTCGCTCTTCAACACGTTCTGATTACGACTGTCATTTACTTTGAAACTCTGTTGTGTTATTGACCTTTGATTACTTTGATTAAACCTGACTTCAGTTACTGGTAGAAGTTCTCCATTTTTATTTTTATGTATGACTTTAGTAATATCATCACGGAAGCACAGAGTAGTCTATGTATATGTTCACATTTCAATTTTTCTTTAACAATAGCTGAATACTTGATAATATTTTATCACACTTCAAAACGTCTATTCTACTAATGAATTTACTCAAATCATCCAACATCCTAGCTACCTCATAATTGTCTGCATATACTCCTGTATTTTCAGTATGTGTTGTTTACTTGTTTGATGACTCAAAATTGCCTGTACTTTTTTAAACATTCTTAAGTGAAATTTATCGGTCATGATTCACAGTGTCTATTTTTATCTGAAGTCAGCTACGATGATGTTGTTTGGGATAAGAATAAATATCACATTTTTGAACCAATGACCTAACAGAATGGAACAAAATACAAAGTATTCTGTTTTTAGCTGTACGATTTTACAAAATTATTGTAAAGCACTGTAAGTTAACATGTTTTTAATAATACCAGTGAGATGGGATAACCTATGAATTTTTGTTTATTTCCCCACTTAATAGTCACTGTTTATTTTGTAGCAAATCTTAGATCCTAATTTCTATATTTTTTCACGTCAAAAGATGTGACAACTTTGGTTGCTTAGCCTATAAACCATGCCCCTTTTATCTCATAAATATATCGCCCATTTAAAACGTAATTCTAGATTTTTAAAGAGGGTGATGTAAAACATGCATTTAAATCCATGAAAAAAACATGAGTTTTCACCTCTGAGCAGCAGGTTTGTAACCAAGATCACCTTAGTTCCTGTTCAAGTGAACTATATGTTTCAACGACCTAAAAGTACATGAAGTGTGAGAAGTCCGAATGAAGTATGACGTAGAATGTTATACATAAATCTATAATTGGTGACCGTCCTATGCACATAAACATCTATATTTGAATATTATCTCATTAAATCATAAGTTTAAAATTTGTACTTTAGGACAACTCTCGAAAAAGAAATGTGACAGAAATTATTAAAAGCAATAAAAATCCTTTTCGAGGCCCAGAAGTTTCTTCTAGTACTTCAGAACCATTGGTTGAACAGAAGTTGGAATCCCCTGACAATTTAATTACTAACGACGATGAAAACCCGCTCATCGATTTCAATAACACAATTCACACCGATTCCTTAACATTTAGAAGAGACAAATGTAGTTCGTGGTCGAGTAACTCAAATGATAAAAGTGTTTCAAGATGGCTTGAAACACATTTTCATGACCAAAACGATAGTGATTTTATATTGGACGGTCAACATGACGTAAGTGAAAATCTATCTATCTGAACTAAAAATATTTTCAGTATATGGTTGTAGAGTCTGTTGAGTTTTTACTGGGATCATGAACCGATCGGTGTTGGACCATCATTGAAAACCCAGAAGCACTAGAAAGCTGTTTCGTCAACGCAGTTTAATTTCATTTTGCATTTGATTGCCTATACAATTACGTTATTATAACTGAGGCCTTCTGGTTGATCCAAGCAAATTACTGCCTCACTCAAAGAGCCTAATTTATCGTAAAATAATGTTGGGTTAGATTTATCAACGATTTTGGATTTTGGTTCACATTTCACAATATTTTAGTTGTCAGTGAAAGTTTGATTGAACTATGGCCACTCATAAATGCCAAAGAGGTAGTTTAGAATAAAAATGTGTATAGATTTTAGGCTTCTTGTACGTTTTGATAAGTATAATTTCTTGAGACGTTAACAAAGTCACTACACTACTCTGTGCACACAACTGAATGTTGGCAAAAGATAATTTTTGTGTATACTGTGAACCACTTCGTCACACACATCCAACAAACTTGGTAAATTTTCCAAAAAACTAATATAAAAAAATTGCTCTTGGGAGGTAATTTTATGAAAGGCATCGTTTTATGAGCTTTCAAAAATCTGTATCTTTGTGAAAAGTTTTATCTGATTTCTAGTTATAACTCTAGTATAGCCACAGCCTCTAAATTTTTTTGTAAGCAGTAATTTTTGACACTTTTGGTGATGACATGTCAAACTGTAAATGGAAATTATTAAAAGGGACCTGATACTTTACTTTGCCGTCAATTAATAAGTGTTCTTGCCCTATTATACTGCAAATTAAAAATCTATACAATATATATTCGTTTGTAACCTCAATGTGAATCTATTGTATAGGGAAAGAACTTAATAGTTCTATTCAAAAACGGAGAAATAAGTGCTTTGAGTAAAGGTTAAAAATATATGTGAATAGCTTAATTTCTTCCCAGAAGAACAAGTGAAAGACCAAAACTCATTTATACTGTATAAAACATTTTTAAGTAGCTAAACCACCATGACAACCTTACAGTTTTCACAAAACAAAGAGCAACCGAATTAAAGTGGTAGAAATGGTAATTAACCTAACTGCTACACCATATTAACGTGTCATGTCCTTATGATTTCATAGTGTTAATCTTATATTTATCCATACAGGTATGTTTTTCGGTAGCAAAACGTTTTGAACACAGCTTGATTGCTGTTAAACAGTAAGATATTTGTTTTCTTGATTTCGGAAGTGTTGAATACTAAAAGACAAAGTATTTCTTGTCAAAGTCCGTCGTGATTCAAAGGCTTTTTCTCACTATATTAATTGATATGATTCATAGTTACTTATTTCATTATTCCCAATGTTTTTTGAAGACAGAAAGTTCGTATTATCTCTTGCAAAGTACTTTTACTAAAAACTTTAATCAGACAATCATATTCCTTAAATTTACGAGATGGAGAAATTAGATTTGTATTTTTCTTCAAATGTCTAGAACTCTGTCTTCCTATAAACCAATCAATATCTTGACTGTTATAAATCCGGGAAACTTCATCGCTCATGATGCAAGATTTTATACCTCTCCCAAGACTTTTCGGGACATTAAGTATTGGTGTCACTTTTGAGATACTCTAGATTATGGTGATTTATCAAATAGAATATTTAATGAAATCCTAATTTTAAATTCAGAAGCCAAGTAAATTTTTCCGTTTATAATCCCTGTACACTTTAGAAGATAAGAATTTGTCGTTAAAATAATAATTATTTATTTATTTAAATTTCTTAATTCAGGTCGTCTAGAAATCCATTTTTCAAATAATTTGTTTAATATACGCTCAGTAAACGTGTATGAATTCTTTAAAAAAATAAGCTATATAGATATAGGTATTTGTGTTTTTAACTATTTGTAAAGATGAAGGAATATAGAATTTGTGAATGCTCATATTTATCATTAATTTCACTATTTTATTCAAAATAAAAGTTGAAAAATGATAAAGTATCAGGGTAGTCTTGACTTTTTTTCCATAAGGTAAATATATTTCTTACTGTTAATCTGTCAAGGTCTTAAAAACCGAATACGTGTGTGATAAAATGATGTTAAAGTGACTCTTGTTTGTAAGATTTTTCATCTTTCCTAGTTAAATGTTGTAGCTAATACTAATATTTAATAAGTAATGCTTCAAATAACATCTAGCAATAGTGCCTTTCCACAACGGAGGACGGGTTAGATAAGGTCGATTCTAGAAATGTCACGCCTCACCTTACTCCACGGATTTCCGTCTCCGGCAGTGAGGCTATTAGAAGTGCGGAGCTAACTCGCCACTAATTCAGCTTCTTTCTCAAATCCCTCAAGAATAAATGTCCTCCCACGATTTGTGCAATCGGGAAGTGACGACCACACTCATGCTTCTATCAGCATCCAAGATCATCTTGTTGACGATCAAATCGCTCTCTCACCTCTTAATAGTTCTTCCATCTCCGTGACTAACCCTTTTGATTGATCTGTATCACCACGCGCCACCAGTGTTAGTGATTTGAGTTAACGAAATATTATTCCCAGTTTCTTGAAACCACGCTCAAAACTGCATGTTGGAGCTTTTAATGTTCGAACCTTGTGTCAGACAGGAACACAGGCTTGTTTAAATAGAACTCAAGAACCTCGCGTCATCGATATGTGCTGCGTTTCCAAAATGCGGATACAGGATCCACGTACAGTGTTATAACGGTAGGATTGCTCGTCTACACCGATGGGACGTTAATTTGCCTTAGACGAATATCTACACTAGCTTCCCTCTCAGCGTCTGTTTTATAGGACTTTAACACAACTCAGACCAAGAACACGCGATAAGCCTGACTAGAACGCGAATATATTTCCATGCCAATAACCGACAGCAATCCTTCATCAATCACAGTAATAATAAGGGTAATAGAATATATAAGTTATCTAGTACCTGTCAGACTATCTACTAGTCTGACTAAGCAAACAACCAGTCATTACCATCCTCGCCCACACATCATATGGCCATTCATTTAACCTCACCTTGCCAATATAAAGGACTGGCATGACTTACTCTTCGAGTTCCTGGAGACCCCAATGTTACTTTCCATGGCTTCGTAGGTGTAGATATGGAATTAAGTTCAAAAGCGGAACACGTTAAATGTAGGCCGATAAAAAACCTACGTAATGATCGTTAGCAGTGGTGAGTAGCGAATGCAGAAGAGATGGAAAAGTCAGCAGTGATAGGTAAAAGTAGACAACTGTTCAGACTTATGAAGGAAACGAGTATTTAGATGTGGTTGTTGGTGAAACTGTCTTGGAAAATATGGGACTACTATTCACTCTCAATCCAGGAGCTTGAACTGATGGTCGGAACTCTTTACGGAATAGTTTAACTGGCCTTCAACCACATCTCAGTTACTTCAGGATCGACTTGCGTCATCGTCTGAATGAGTGATAGGGACTGAAGTAGTTGAACACGTCAACCGCTTCACTTATCTTGGGAGTTTCATGAGTACTGATGGTCTGGTGTCTGACAAAATCTCGACATGGAGTGAGAAGGCTCGATTGGTTTTCTCCGACTTGCATCACATGTGGCGTAGGTGAGAGATCCGTCTTTCAAAAAGAGGGGAAGTTTACTGCGCAGCAGTTTGCTCTGTTCTACTTAATGGATGGGAAACATGGCCATTAATATTAGAGGGTATTCGTTGGTTACTGGTGTTCAATCGTAGGTGCCTACGAGGCATTGGTGGAGTATTTTGGGACCACGGAGTACGCAATGCCCGCGTTAGGAATAGAGTACTAGTTAAAGATGGGAAATCGATTGATGAGGCAGTAAATCTTTATCAACTGAGGTGGTTGGGATATGTGTCACGTATGCCCAACGACCTCTTACCTCGACAGGCGATATTTTCGATTGTAAGAGCATGCTGGAAGAAAGTTAGGGGCCACCAAACCAAAACGTGGCGTAATCTTTCCTATAATCACTGATAATATTACTACTGTGGTGTGTGCTACTGATGTCGACAAATATAAGTAATATGTATCATCAATTGAAAGTGAAATGCCTAGCGGCATAAGGTTAAGAATTTCAAAAAGAGAAGAGGACGAGAACATAGAATGATTGGTGTGGAAACGAAGTAACAACCATGTCTGAGATAATTGATTGACATTTTGCATATGAAGTATTTACTGTGTGGTTCACAGATTTGATTAAGAAATTCTGTAGTTGTCCGTTTAAATGCATTTGGTCGTCCTCACTGTTGTTCTCGTTCACTACACTACCTTTACTATTCTGCGATTTGCCCTGACAGTCATAACTCCGTGTGCTAATGGAGTGGGGCAGTTTGAACATGTGTGAATAACTACGGCTCCGACGTTGTGACCGACCGACTCAACGGAAAATTTACAAGTACTCTTTATGCTGAGTATTATAAAAGATTTTTTATGTCATGATATTCTCGAGTACTTAATAACCTTCTTTGTTTGATTATCAATTACTTTGTTAGAGTCACATATTGATACCATGTTCAGACAAAAGAGGTGAGGACTTCAAATGTGGACAAAATTTGGACACGATAGGGGATAGTTTAGACTTGAATATAAATCCAAGATTAGGAAATATCTGTATGGATTTGATCGAAGTTTCAGGTGATGATGGTGATTTACAATACACAGATATCAATGAGGAAACAAATACTCCACCTCCATGTTTAGTCAGACCTTCATCTAATTCAATCAACACTGCACGCCAGATAAGTGGTTTCGATGATGAATGTAAGTTTAGACAGATGATCCTTTTCGAAAATGAATGTGTTAATATTTTGTTGTGTGATTATATATTTTATTGACTTTTAGAGACTTTTGTTTAATCCCTTAATTATTTAAGGATTTTCTCTTTAGTTGAAGTTTAGTTTAAAATTAGGTTGTTATTCACGTATTTTGTCTCTAGTTGCTCAAAATGAAAGTCTTTTCGTTTAGTTTTCGAATTTATTTAATAGATTTCTGCGTTTATCTCCCGTGTTATTTTACGCAGTAGTTCGAACTTGGTAATTCAAAAAAATTGAAGTTTTCAGAATAACAATATAATTTTGTTTAGTATTTTGTATTGCAATTAATGAATAGCTGAAAATTTTATCTAAAATTATCCTGCAATACTAAATGCTTCAAAAGAAAAAAAGCTTATACCAACATAGAAAGCTGAAGAATTTGTACTTTCATGCCAGTGAATAATTACAAAATAGCCTATGATAACAAGGAAAGTTCAGTGTTAACTCTGGGAAGTCGTTTGTAGGCTGACTTGTTTAGTACATTCGTTATCGATCTGAAATACAACTTCGATCCTTTTGTAGTATTAGTGGAGTGAACAAGAACACCAGTGGGGACAGTCGAATGTATTTGACAAAGCATTACAGGACCTGTTAATAAAATCTAACAATCATAAAGTAATGCTTAATTTGCAAAATGTCCACCAGTTGTCTCAAAATGACTCAGACTTCATTGCTCTTGCATTTTCATACAAATTACATCCTGTTTCTGTTCTTTACTGTTCGATCCTCTTGTCTCTCTGCTGCCAGACCTTCTGTTCATGACTATCATCATATACTACTTATGTCAATATAAGTAGAACGCATCACATTAATTTCTGCTAAAATAATTGGAAGATGTGGAGTTGATCTTTCGAACTCAGTAGTAACTAAAAAAATGTTTACATTCAGAAAGCTTATTACCATAAAACTGATCTGTTGAATGGATTAATGGTCACCGGTATACTTTTGAATGATATCTTAATCGTCTCTAGTAAAATTTGATGAAGTTTATGAAGGAAATAAAAATTTATTGTCACTGACACATTTGTTTTCGACAATCTAATGATAGACAGCTAGATCCTGGTTTAAAACTTTCTCATTATTCGACCATTAGCCTTATATAGAAAATATTTAGTTTTTTCAGATAGGACTTTGTGTTTCACCTACATTTATTTTCTAGTAAAACTGATAATCTCAACTTCGCATGATGACAATCGACGTAATTCCGCAGCGACTGTTATACAAAAGTTTTGGAGACGTCATAGAAGAAGATGTTTAGCAGCGGAAGCCGTAATGTATCGTCTGCTTGACAATCAAAAACGCAGATTAAATAAACAAAACATGAATAATGGACGACCCATTCATTCAGTTCTACAAAGTCGTCAAAATGAGTTAAAACAGAAAAGGAAACAACAACACCAAAATGCTATTAAAGTTGGTTATCTTTAGTTAAAAGCAATGTTTTGATTGTTTAAATGTTGATTTTACCATTTACGTACAGGGACATATTTACTTTTATCTGTTAATAACTGCTGGTTTAGAAATATCAAAATATTCATTTGACCAAACCTGAAATGAAATTAGATTCGAGTTTCTTCCACACTCGAATACGTCAATTGTAATTTATCATAGGTCTACAGGAAATAGTCACATACAAGTTCAATAAATAAGTAACTAAGACTTCTGAATTAAAAAATGGAAGACGTTTCACAATAAGTGGTGTTCTTTTCGAAAGTGTGTGTTCGGTCAGATAATTATGACAATAAAATATTTATGACCAATTTTACAATATATGTAATACGTGCGTGAAATCAATGTGACACCGCTCAGTTGGTTTTGAAAAACAGAAACTTTATTAAAAGTAAATAAAAGTACCATTTTAGAGTAATCATCAAAATAATTCATTTACGTTCTATGGATTTGTTAAGATTCATTAGTGTTTTACACTGTATCATTTTGCGTCATTCGATTTTGTAGTCCCAAAACAATTCTCGGTGGATAAAATTTTAAACGTCATATCCTTCTTATAAACCATATTTTAATAGAAGTTGTAGGAACATAAATTTGTATTTCAATGCTTTGTCAGTGGTAACATGTTAAATATATATGGATTCAACCAAAATAAAACGAACAACGAACATATAGTATGAACTAAATAATTGCCTACTTATTTGACTTTTTATATTTTACAGCTTATATGCTCGTCATTTTCCCCAATGACTATTTACTTTAGGCTTTATCAAATGTCTTATTCAGAAAGAGCAGTTAATTATTCATAAATTACTTCAAGCGGTTTTATCCATGTTTACTAGGTCTAAATCTTACTTAACAAATCTTTATCATATTGCAACAAATACAAATAGCACAATGTTAACGATTAATAAGTTTACTGGATTGCATTAAAAGAATGGTTTAATTTTCCAAAATAACTAAAAAAATACATATTTTTAACGTCTTAAGTAATCGCAGTTGATAATCAATTAAATCTAATCAAACGGTTGGAAAAACGTTTAAATAATAGAAAAAAATTTAGCTAGTTATTTGAATTGTGAATGATGCTTATTAATTGAGATCACGAACATGAGTTCGAATCCCGCATGCAGGATCATGGATGAGCACTTCTTAGGAGTCCTAAACTTGGACGAAACGGCCTTACAGTGCTCACAAGCTTTCAGTGATGGTCTAACATTATCGGTTTATAATCTTCGTAAAAGCTCAACAATCTCCACAACCCTACACTGATAATGTTTTTGTTACTTTCCAGTCTTTGGTTAATAATTATTCTTTAATTTAGAGTTTTAAAGTGCTAGAATAAAACAAGTTATGGTATTGAACTATTCGTTTATATGATCGATGATTGGTAATTTTCCTTTTAAACCACACTTTGGTAAACTCATTCATTATTAATCTTAAGATTTTGCAGGAGAATCGATCCTCTAAAAGTTCACAAAGTCAAGAAACTTTAGAGGATAAGGCAGAAGTAAATGATGTGTTTGAATCAATTCTTGTATCTGGTAACCGAAAGGACCGTACAAATGAAGACAAATCAAACATTTTGAATAAGCCTATATTTACTACCAATGCTAATCAATGTAAAACTTACAGCTCTGATATTCATATTACCACAGTGAGTCAATAATTAATGTGAACTCCGTGATTTACTTAAACTTTCATTTTTTCATCTGAGAGAATTTAAAAATTTTTGTTTTACATCATAATTTGATGACACTTGTGACTACTATAATTTGGTAGTTATCCTCATATTATACATAACTCCTACCATTGATTTTTGTCCGATCCTTTTTTATTTGTTAGGTCTGTATCATTTAAGAAGCGCAGATAATATTCTCTATTTGAACATAATGTCTTATTTAGCAGAATATCAGGTCATTAATTAATATGTTAGTGATTTAAATACAGGCTGAGATCAATTTCTGAACGTAGGTAGTATTACATAGTGTGATATCAAACGGAGTTTCAAGCATATGAACTGCTATTTAACTGGTTTCTACACCTATACCAAATTAATATTACTTGAGAGAAGACAGATTGATCAATTTGTAATACCGAATTCTTGCGTTTGTATGGTGTATAATATTTATACTTTATAGAATAACTTAAAATCCCACTCACATTCACTTCAGTCTAGTCATTTTTAGTTCAGTAAATGACGAATATTCGGTAAAGTTTAAGATTTTCATTATCAATGAACACGGTTGTACAACCATCTCAGAATACAGTCCTAAACTGTGTCAAAACAACTAAGATGCTAGGATAACAATCAGTCAACTGACTTTTCGAAACGAGACTGATTAAATACGAAACGTCAGAAAATTTAATATTTCTACTCTTTGGGATATTAAAAATATATTAATTTATCTATAACAATCTACTCAAGGCTCAATTTATTCGAAATTATTAAGTCAAACCTTGGTAATGATACCTAAAAAGACTGATTAGAGTAACCAGATCATGGAAAAACTGAATGCCAGATGGTATACGTTTTCGAAACCAAACACAGGCCTCCCATTAATAATGCGTGAAGATACTATACTTATTTTCTAATTTATCTGTAACGTATTTCGTGATCATGGATTAAAAGTGACTGCTAATTCAGCTACTTAGTTCATGTTTTTTTAGTTTAGTCGTATTTTGTCTTCATATACATTGGCTGAACAAAGTTAGGGAGTATTTATCTGATTCTTCATTATTCCGATACTTCTGTTCCTTTTCAGATCCGTATCACCTTCAGTTGAATCAAAGCTACAATATTCAGCTTTAGGTCATCAGATAGAAATTATGGTTCATAGTTACATTAATCTAATATTCACCGATTGATCACTAATTCGTAGTCAGTTTTATGTTTGTTTAGTCCATAGTGCTGAGAGAGTTTACTGATTAAATTGGGATGTGTTCACTTGTCCAGGCGGCTTGACACCGTGTGCACATTTTTGATGTTAGGTTGTTGAAGATAGTCCAGGGGAACCATGTACCGAGATATAACACTATTTCGAGCTTATCACGAAGGGGTACTAACAATCTTGGCGGAATTGATGCTCCACGGACCTTTACGTTTCTTAGACTGTGCAGTTCTGTTTTCGAGTGACCTATGTAGGGCTCAAACACCGACATTGGTTCATCGCTGAGCATTGGTTGATTTCACGTCTGCCTAGTCCTTAACGCTTATTAGGTTGAGGGTCCGGATACCATGAGTATCAGGCCCCTCCCCTAAATAATGAATATGCTGTACTAAAGAGTGTTAGTTATCACAAACCTAGGTCCAAAGGATTACCACTGACTGTCTCAAATCCCTAATATCAGAATTATACATGGTTTTTAAAAATTTCATGAAGACTGTTTATCCTGCAAAAAATCAGAAACTAGTCTATCATGAAGTTTGTATTGTTTATTGCTGGTGTTAAACGGCTATGTAAATTACTGGATGCTGCACACATCAGCATGATTGTTTGAAATACCATTGCTTCTCACTTATTAGCACAGGTCTGAGTATACTTAACAATTTTTTTTGTTAAAACACCATCGTTTATGAAAATTCAAGCTTTCATCGTGGTAGTGAAAATTTGTTTTGAGGTTTATTCAAATAAAAACAGTACAGTAAACAGAAGCTTATTTATCGCGATTACTCTAAGCATATCTACCTATGATAATTGACCTGCTCTTTGTGTGCATGAGGCGTTGCTTACTAATATTATTACTTTGTTCATTTTCTGTTAGACTACAGAACAAAATGTACACAATGAAATTGAACAAGTCTGTAGGGAGAACAGCAGTCTCTGTCAGACTGAGTTTTGCGGTCTACGGAAAGATGGAAATAACAGGGCACTTGGTCAACAAAAAAATGTATCTGGGGAAAAGAATATGTCAGCTGTAGATAACATACTTCAGGAATTAAAACAGCTAGAAAGTGTGGAATTCTTAAATTATTGCCCGACGAATGATCAATGTAATGATGTCTCAAAACAGGTTTCCTTGCAGAAGTGTCCCATTCCAACTACATGGTCTGAAATGGGTGGGTTAATCCAGTTATTAACTATTTCGGATTTTGATGTTTGTGTATGCACTGGATGGTCTGAAAACTTTTCTTTAAATAACAAAAAAAGGTTCATTACTGTTAGGTTCGTTAACCTTGAGGATACTACTGATTCGACTTATTCGGAACGGAACGAAGGCTCAGGATTCAGAGACTCAATAGACTATTCTGGTCCGTTGTCTTCGACTCAGCTAACTCGATCAAGAAGTCTTGGTAAGGCGTAGAAAGTGTATTCTACAAGCAACAGCAGATACCAAGTCAGGCAGGCAGATCAGACCAAGCATACAAGTCAAGCGTATTTATACAAATATATATCGATTTTGTCAGGAAATTTTTAAACAATAATCAATGAGTCATTAATGGTCTGCTATTTAAAAATTTAATCGATAAGTTAATCGATATGATAAAATTACAAAATATGAGTTTGGGGATATATCGGCCCCAACAATTACTTATTTCGTACTGAGTAGCGATTCTGTGGATAAATTTGAGGACTGATTAATCTGATTATTTTTGTATACCTTTCAGTTGATTCTCATTTCTCACAAATAGGTGTGAGTTAACCATTTCGTTGAGCAATAATATTTTCGCGAAGGGTATTCATGTACAAAAGTATGTATATTCTGCATCGCCTAAGGTAGTGTGTCAGGTTCTTTTTAGAAACATATTTAATTTATTGAATTCTCAGTGAAGTTTAGGATTGCTAGAGATGATCATTATTTTCTGACCACTTTTTCACTTGTTACTCTCTATTTACGCTAGAATACTGGTTTCTTAGAGGGAGTAAATGAATCAATAATCACTTCTATTTTCAGCTCTTATCATCCATAGTTTTCTGAAAGTCTTTAAAAACAACGTTACATTCGTGAAAACACATAGTCATGAGGGATTTAATTAGACTTTTCCACCATGTGCAAATTAAAAACCATCTTAACTGATGATTATTATGACTACTGTAACCTTTATCGCATTTAAATTACTGAATAATCGGTGTGAAGTCAGGTTGTGTTGTATTGTGCTAATGTTGTTTACTGTGTTATCATTTTTTTACAGTATTGAAATTTGATGGGTTGCCACTGTAATTGAACTTTTCAAATGAAGTCAGTTTTACATTTTTGAAATATATATTTGATATACTGAGTAACGAAGATCGATCTGAATAGTTGAACATTATCTAGATTCTGTTGTGATTCGGCATTCATATTTTGTCACATTTCAGGTAACAATAATAATAATAATAATAATAATAAAGTCTTTCAACTGGTTAGAAAAAACTATGGTATCATTTTTAGTCCTACTATATTAACGAACTGATAACTGAGTAAATAATTTTATCTTAAAGATGTTTTTATTACTTACTTACCTACTTACTTACGCCTGTTACTCCACGAGAAGGAGCAAAGGCCGCCCACCAGCATTCTCCATCCAACCCTTTTCTGGGCAATCCTTTCCAGCTCTTTCCATTTGTTATTCACCCTTTCCATATTTGCTTCTATTTCCCGACATAATGTGTTCTTTTGCCTTCCACTTCTCCGTCTCCCTTCACGATTCCAAGTTAGGGCTTGCCTCATGATGCAGTTTGTTGATTTGCGTAGTGTATGTCCTATCCATTCCCATCGTCTTTTCCTAATTTCCTCTTCTGATAGAAACAGGTTTGTTCTCTCCCACAGTAGACTGTTGTTGATGGTATCCGGTCAACGGACACTGATTATCTTGCGTAGACAACTGTTTACAAATACTTGTATCTTTTTGATGATGGTTGTAGTAGTTCTTCACGTCTCAGCTTCATACACTAGGACTGCCTTGACGTTCTTGTTGAAGATTCTGACTTCGATATTGGTTGAAAGTTGTTTTGAGTCCCATATGTTCTTCAATTGAAGGGATGAGGCTCTTACTTTGCCAATTCTCTCATTTACGTCTGCATTTGAACCTCCTCGTTCATCGGTGCTGCTTCCCAGATACGTAAGTGTTTCCACATCTTCCAGAGATTCTCAACCAAGTGAGGTTGAGTTGGTGTTCTCTGTGTTATATTTAAGGATCCTGCTTTTCCCCTTGTGTACGGTGAGGCCTACTGATGCAGAGGCTGCTGCCACACTAGTTGTCTCCATCTGCATTTGTTCGTGTGCATAGGACAGAAGAACCAGGTCATCTACGAAATCCAAATCGTCTAGTTCCACCCAACCTGTCCATTTTATTCCGTGCTTCCCACCTGATGTCGAGCTCTTCACAATCCAGCCAACTACCAGAAGAAAGAGGAAGGGAGGCAGCAAGCAGCCTTTTCTGACTCCGTTCCTCACTTGGAATGCATTTGTCAGCTGTCCTCCATGCACCACATTGCAGTGTAGTCCGTCGTATGAATTCCAGGTGATGTTGACGATCTTCTCGGGTTCACCATAATGTCGTAGGTGTTTCCATAAGGTTCTCCTATCCACACTGTCAACTGTTTTCTCATAATCAAGGAAGTTGATGTATAGTGACGAATTCCATTTAATTGATTGTTCGACGATGATCCGTAGTGACGCGATTTGGTCTGATCACGGCCGATCCTCACAGAATCCAGTCTGTTGATCTCGAAGTTGGGTGTCTACTGAATCTTTTATCCGGTTCACCAACACTCTGTTAGTAACTTTGCCTGGTACTGATAGTAGTGTGATTCCTCTATAGTTTTCATATTTGCTCAGATCTCGGTTCTTCGGTATCTTGATGACGTGTTCTTCTTTCCAGTCAATCGACACTTGTTCCTCCTCCCAAATCGTTTTGAATAGAGGGTAAAGCATGTTTGTAGTTACTTTGATGTCTGACTTCAGTGCTTCAGCTGGTATGTTGTCAGGTCCTGCTGCTCTCCCGCTCTTGATTTGTCTGATGGCCATTCTGATTTCTTCCGTCATTGGTGGATTGACATCTATAGAAAGATCTGTGTGTGCTGCTTCGATGTCCGGTGGGTTCATTGGAGCCGGCCTATTCAGGAATACTCTACCCATCTGTTCCGCTGTTGTTGAATTTCAGTGATTGGCCTGCCTTCTTTGTCCTTGACCGGTCTCTCTGGTTTACTATATTTCCCTGCTAGTTTCTTCGTTGTATCGTAAAGCTGTTTCATATTTCCTTCTCTTACAGCTTTTTCCGCCGTCGTTGCTAGTTCTTCCACGTATTTCTGCTTGTAGACTCTAATGCTCTTCTTCACTTGCTTGTTTGCTTCTATGTACTCAGCTTGTTCTTGAACTTTCTCTGTTCTGGTTCAGTTGTTGTTAGTTGCTGTTTTCTTGTTCGTTTTTTTGAATCTTGTACAGGGTTCCGATGGAGATCCATTCCTCATGATGATACTTCTTGCGGCCCAGCACCTCTTGAAACGTTGAAGTTAATGCTTCTTTGATCCCTTTCCAGTTGTCCTCTATAGTAGTTTTTTCTGCTTTCAGTAGATCCTGCAAGGCGTGGAACCTATTGTTGAGAGTTATCTTGAATTGGTTGAGTTTGTCAATATCTCGATGGAAGGCTGTATTGAACCTTTTTAATGCTGTTTATCCAGTTGTCCAGTTTTTCTTTAGCTTCAGTTTTAAATTGGCCACAGCTAGGTGGTGATCTGAAGCTATGTCAGCTCCTCTCCTGATTCTCACATCTTGCGTTGTCCTTCGGAGCTTTTTATTGATGCAAATATGATCTATCTGATTCTCTGTGGTGTGGTTCGGTGAGATCCATATAGCTTTGTGTATACGTTTGTGTGTAAATATTGTGCCGCCTATGACCAATTTGTTGAATGCACACAGACTTGCAAATCTTTCCCCATTTTCGTTTCTCTCTCACAGTCCATGTCGTCCCGTGATATCTTCATATCCGTGTGTTGTCTATTCCGACGTTGGCGTTTAGATCTCCCATCAGAATGGTGATGTTCTTTCTTGGGCACTTCGCTGTGATTGATTGCAACCTCTCTTAGAATTGATCTTTAATGTCTTCATTGCTATCATTGGTGGGTGCATAACATTGGATAATATTCATTTTGATCCCCTCCTTCTTTGTTTTTAATGATACTTTGATGATTCTGGATTTGTGAGATTCCCATCGTACAAGTGCATTTCGTGCTACTTTGGACAGCATTAGAACAACTCTCTGAGTGTGTGGAGCATTTTCCTCTTCGTGACTGGAGTATAGCAGCATCTCTCCCGTATTTAGCCTTTTTTGTCCAGCTTGGGTCCAACGGGTTTCGCTGATTCCCAGTACTGCCAAGTTGTATCTGCTCATTTCCGTTGCTATTTGACTGGTCCTCCCGGTCTCCCACATTGTACGGATGTCCCATGTACCTATAAAAATTGTTGCTCTGGTTGTTGGTTGTGGCTTCCGAAGGAACTCGGTTTCACTATGAGGCAACATATTTCTTCGAAATGAAGACCTTCTAGCTCCCAGGGCAGAGTTTAAATGGTTTGAATTATTTTTTCTGGTTAGCGTTATTTTTAGCGAGTTATTTTTCTACGGGATGGGGACGCTAACCCTTTGCTCAACCCTCCTCCTTTACCCGGGTTTGGAACCGGCAGTAACTCTAGAAGAGCTACAGGAGGAGTTATGCTTTTATTAATCACAGTCAAGAATATAAATCGTTGACAGAACTGAACTAGTGTTTTAATTTCCATCAGTCAGTATACTCTAATTGTCTTTCACAATCCATCTAATGAAATAAATAAATTTTGAATTTAAAAGTCATACTGAGTGAAGAAAATAGTATGCCTTGCTATTCATCATGCCTCAACACTAACTTAAAATAGTCTACAAAAATAATTATAGATAATTAAAAAATTAATTCTTGAATAAAGCTGTTGGGGATGCTAGATCCCCCAAACTCATATTTTGTGATTTTATCATATCGATTAACTTATCGATTAAATATTTGAATGGCAGTCAATTGATGAACTTATCGATTAAATATTTGAATGGCTGTTGATTGATGAACTTATTCATTAATGTTTAAAAAATTTTACCATGACAATATCAATTATAAATATTTGTATAAATACGCTTGATTAGTGTGCCTGATTGACCTGACCTGATATCTGCTAGTTGCCTGTAGAATACACTTCTACGTCTTACCAAGACTTCTTGATCGAGTTAGCTGAGTCGGGGACAACGGACCAGAATAGCCTATTGAATCTCTGAATCCTTGATCCTTCGTTCCGTTCCGAATAAGCCGAATCAGTAGTAGCATTCAAGCTTAACGAACCTAACAAAAGCCTAGTAAAATAATTATAGAGTTTCAATATTAAACTGTTGAATAAATTGAGAAACGATATGAGTCCCTCTATGTAGTTTAATAAATAAAACAGTTAGATGGGATGGAGTTATAAAAAAAATGGAACAGGCTGTTAGGCTATACTACACTCAATGCAGATCGATTATCGAAAGGAAATAATCAACTAAACAACCAGTCATCAACACTCATCATTTACGAAGAAAATCATATGAAAACTTTTAGTGGAATTAGTAAATCGAAATCTTGTGCATATAGCTTTAATTGGGAAAATTGTTTGATTAAGATGACAAACATAAAGTGAAGGAAAGCAATATGAAAATATTTTTTAAGCGCAAAACTCCTGCTTGTTTGTGTGAATATAAATGGTTTATACTATATGAGAAACATTAAACCATGAAGTGAATGGAATAGAATATATGACTTTTCAGGTCTCACATAACTTCGGTGCCTAATACTAGATGGATATACAGTGATAGAATTTATTGTTGTCCTAGTCTATAGTTTTTCTCAATCACAGAGAATGATGTTGAGAATAAAAAGAACATTAAAAATTCACTTTGTGGCCAACTTGAAAATAATTGCTAATGTTGATTGGCGATCTTTTAAAAGCACATTTTCATCAAGTAAGATATCATTTATGTACTAATGATTTATAAAAACATTTTTCAGTGAAATTTGCTTGAAAAGAATATTTATTGAATTGTATGTCAGTAGGCTTAGTTTTGTTTATTATAAACAAGATACTAATTATGGTGTTGCTTATAGAATAATCCTACTGACAAAGTATGTTTTATATCAGTTTTCTTTTCCAAAGTATTTCAAAAACTGTAAGCTATTTCTCAGCGTTTTTTAGGTTTAAATTTGATTTTGTGCGTTTAACGAATTCTTACATAATTCTTGGTTATCGTACAGAAGTGAACTAAAGTGAACTAAAGTGAACTAAATGATTACCTTGTAATATAAACTTGAGAACTAATTTATTCATCATATCATCATTAAATACATATTTTCAGAATGGGTTTTGTGGAGATTTTCTAGAAATTTCACAAGTTGAAGTCATGAGTCAATTGAAGCTAGATCACCATAGAAAACCTGGGAGCAGTGCGCACCCACGATCCCGCACCCCGCGGGATTCGAACCCAGGACCTACTGGCTTCGTGCGCGAGCACTTAACCACCAGACCACTGAGCCGGCATCCAACGGGGTTCGAATCCCGCGGGGTGCGGGATCGTGGATGGGCACTGCTGAGGAGTCCCGTACTAGGACGAAACGGCCATCCAGTGCTTCCAGGTTTTCTATGGTGGTCTAGCTTCAATTGACTCATGATTTCAACTTGTAAAATACATATTCCTCTTAAAATTAATTGGTGTTTTGTAGAAAATATTGATATAAAATAGCTTAATTTTTCTTCTTTTTAGTCAAGGATATTAGTCGTGTCCTATCTGAGGCTGAACAAGATGAAGTGCATTCAGTCAACTTCAGGAAGTATGGTAGTGTTCAACGATCTACAGGCTTAAAAGGTGTTCGAAATCGATCTGATTCTACATTATCCAATTATTCTTCACTTGGTCAGTCAAATTGGTCTGGTGCATCTACAATAACTACAAACAGACATACGTTCCTGAGTGAAGAGAATTTGCATTCACATACCAAGTAAAATTCTCTTGTGTTATACAACCCCCCAGTACTTGCTACAAAATATCAAATTTAATAACTGTTTTTGTAGTGTCAAGCATCTGATAATGATTTAGGTAAATTTTGTCTTATTCTGTCGAAATTCGATAGCGAAAACTAAATATAATCCTTCACCATTAGAGGAATATAATTATAATTATAAAAGTCTAAAACCAAAAGTCAGATTCAAACACTTCCCATCTTTAAAACCCTTATTGTTAGACATCATCGGTTAAAATGGTTTTAACTCAGTTTATACCCTTTAATTTACTACATCCTAAGATTGTGACAAGTATTCTTCAAGAACAGTACTCAACGTTTTTTGCCTAACTTCGTAAAATTCGATAAATCGAATTTCAATGGTGGTCTAGCCTACATCGACTCATGAGTTCAATTAATTAATTACTACAATTTCCACTAAGTTAAATGTTATTTTGACTATCATTCAGAACGTATGTAAAACTAGTGAAGACCGAAAATGAAATTCCTAGTTGTTCGAAACGACCATGAATAATTTTCTAGAGAAATAGGTTTACTCAATATCTGGCGCGAATTATACTTACTTAATAACAGAAAAGAATAATTAACTAAAAGATGTGATCATGTTTATAGAATCACAAAGGATTAGTAGCGTTTGGAAATTTGCTTAAACATTATGACATTCTGAATCCATTATAATATCATCATTCGATCATTGGCGTGCTTACTGGCGGTGTACCTTTTCCATCTTTTATCGTCATCATAGAAAGGGTAAAGTTTTAGATTCAAAATACTTGACTAATATTTTCCATTTTAAAATGACAGATAACCTTAAGTTTTTGAAGGGTTTTAGAACATCTGCTAAATAGTCACTGCAAAGCATAACGAATTATTCATGTTGTTGAGCATTGTAATAAAACACTTTAGAAATTTCCATAGTTTTCTATAATAAATGATTTTTTAATAGCACTATGGAATTGTCATCATATTTATGTAAGTTACAAAGTTATCTCAATGGCCTATTTTCGCTAGACATATGGAACGGGTTTGTTCACGGCAAAAGGCCCAAAAAGAACTGGATCAATCTATATCTCAATGTCGAGAAAAATTGACTACTTTCATCCAGTCAAATCATAATAATGTATGTCATAATCTTCCAGAACCAAATGGCGGTGATACTGGTACTAATCAACACACAAAGTATTCTAAGAGTCGAAACTCTGCTACATCACAAAGACCATCTTCTGTAAAAAATCAAACAACTTCTAAATCTTTACAATGTAACTGCTTTAAGAGCCCTATGAATCTATCAAATGCTCATTTGCTGTATACAAATTCTGTTGAAACAAAAGCTGAAAATAAATTGTCTTACAAAAGTCATATGGGGCGTAGTACACAAAATCTTTATGATAGTGTATCACTGAAGGACGGAATGAAGGTAATTTAATGGCTATTCGTATTTTGACAGTCATATTCACAATGTATTTACTAAATATGGCCTGATCTGAGTGACATCTTTCATCGCATGTGTGTGAAGAAAGTGATTTAAGAGTAAATATGGTGCTAAAACTTCACTTTACTATTTACATGAGCTCTTTATCTAAAAATGGTAATAACTTCACTTAACTTACGCCTGTTAACCCTCGTAAAACATTGGCCACCAACTATGATTTACCAACCAACTCTACCCTGAGCACTCCTTTCCAGTTGTTCCCAAGCGCTATTGATTCTTTTGATGTCTGTATCCAATTCCCGGCACCATGTGTTCTTAGGTTTGCCTCTTTTCCTTTCGCCTTGAGGGTTCCAAGTCAGGGCTCGCTGTGTGATGCAGTTTTGCGCTTTCTGCAGTGTGCGTCCTATCAACGTACAGTCTTTTCTCAATTTCCTCTTCAACTGGGAGCTAGTTTGTTCTCTGCTATAGCATGTTGTTGCTGGTTGTATACGGTCAATGGACCTAGAGTATTTTATGCAGACAACCTTTTATAATTATCTACACTCTTTTCATGATAGTTGTAGTAGTTCCCTAAGTATAAGCTCCTTATAACAGAAATGTTTTGATGTTTGTATTGAAGAATCTTACTTTGATGTTACCTGACGGTCGGTTTTAGTTCCATATGGTCTTCACTTACAAGAGTGCCAAGCTTGCATTGTCAACCAGTGCCTTCACATCTGCGTCAGATCCGCTTTGTTCATCAATGTTGCTGTTCAGCTAGGTAAAGGCGTCCATCTCTTCCAGAGCTTCTCCATCAAGTGTGATTTGGTTGATGCTCGCTCTGTTGTCTTTCAGGATCATGATTTCACCCTTTTGAATGTTGAGATCTACTGCTGTAGAGGTTGCTACAACACTGACTGTCTTCACCTACATTTGTTGCCGTGTGAGAGAGAAGACCTAGATCATCTGCAAAGTCCAAATTTTTTAGCCACATCCAAGCTGTCCATGTAGGTCTTCATAATCCAGTCAGTCAACCACCAAATGAGAGAAAGAGCGCAAGAATAAGCAGCCTTAACTGACACCAGTCTTTACTATGAATGGGTCTGTCAGCTGTCCTCTATGCACCAATTTGTAGTACAGCCCGTCTCATTAATTCTGTATGATGTTGACGATATTCTCAACTATACCACAGTATCGAAGAAGGTTACTTAATGTTCTCCTATCCAATTTGTCGAATGCCTTCTCATTGTTAAGGAAGGTGATGTATAGTGACAAATCCCATCCTATTGACTGCTCAACAATGATCCATATTGTAGTGATTTGGTCTGTGCATGACCGGTCCTTACAGAATCCAGGCTGTTGACCTCGCAGTTGGACGTCTACTGAATCTTTTATTCAGTCCAGTAACACTCTGTTGGGAACCTTCCCTGGTACTGATAGTAGTGTGATACCTTTATAGTTCTCACACTTGCTCAGATCTCTTTTCTTTTGTATCTTGGTGATGTATCCTTCTTCTAGTCTATCGGCACTTGTTCTTCCTCCAAATCTTTCTGAATAAAATGTGGAGCATCTTGGAAGTTACTTCTATGTCTGGATTCAGTGCTTCACCTTGTAAGTTGTCTAGTTCTTATGCTTAGATACTCTTGGTTTTTCTGATAACCATGGTGATTTGTTTGATTGTCGATGGGACAACATCGATAGGAAGGTCTATAGGTGCTACTCTAATGTCAAGTGAGTTCAGTAGAGCTGGTCTATTCAAGAGTTTTTTAAAAGTGTTCTGCTCAATTGTTCTATTGTTGTTAATTCTCAGTGGTTGGTCTGTCTTATTTGTTCCTAAATGGTCGCCCTGGTTTGTTTTACTTTCCATCTAGTTTCTTCTTTGTATCATATAGTTGTCGCTTACAACTTAATCTGATGTCATTGCTAGGTCTTTCATGTATTTCTGCTCGTCGGCACTAATGATCCTCGCTTGTTTGCTTCTGTGTGTTCGGCGTATGCCTTGGCTTTCTCTACACTTGTTGGGCTGTTGTTTATTGCTATCTTCTTGTTCATCTTTTCTTGAATCTTATTCCAGGATGTCAATGGAGATCCATTCTTTATGATATTGCTTGTTGTAGTCCATCACCTTCTGACACTTTGAGTTTATTGTTTTTCGATCTATTTCCAGTTATTCTCTATGGTATTTTCCTCTTGTTTGAGTAGATCTTGTAAAGCCTGGAACCTGCTGCTGAGAGCTACCTTGAATTTATTGAGTTCGTCAGTAACTCGAGGGAACTTATGTAATGCTATTTCTACAGTTGTTCAGTGCTTCTGTGGCTTCAGTTTCATCTTGGCAACCACCAGGTGATGATCTAAAGCGATGTCAAATCCTTCCTTTTTTCACGTTCTCAATGGATCTTCCGAATTTCTTAGTGAAGAAACATGATCGATCTTGTTCTCTGTATTGTGACCCTGTGATACCCATGTAGCTTTGTGAATGCGTTTGCCGGGGAAATACGGTCCCACCTATAATCGTTTTTTCGAAGGCACATAAATTTGCAAACCACTCACCATTCTCGTTCCTTTCTCCTAGTCAGTTCATGTCGTCCCATGACATTTCCATTCCTGTTGTTGTCCATCCATACCTTGGTATTTAGGTACTCCACCAGGATAGCCAGGTTCTTTCCTGTGCACTTCGCCATGATCGATTGCAGCCTCTTGTAAAACTGATCTCTATAGTCGTCGTTGCTATCATTTGTGGGTGCATAACATTGAATATCATTCATTGTGATACCCTACTTCTTTATTTTGGAGGACGCTTTGATGATTCCGGATCCATGTGATTCCCATCCCATAGGCTCCTAATGTGCTTCTTTGAACGGCATCAGAACAACTCTCTGAGTGTGTGGAGTATTTTATTCTTCGTATAACTGTGCAGCAGCACCTCTCCAGAATCTATTCTTTTCTGTCCAGCTTGCGTCCAGTGGATTTTACTCTTTCGAACATAGCCAGGTTTTATATTTTCATTTCTGCAGTTACTTGACTCGTCCTCCTGGTCTCTCACACTGTTCGGAAATTTCATGTACATGTCTCAATTGGTGCTCTGGTTGTTAGAAGGGGCATTGGACTCGTGATTTCCTGATATTTCCAACCTTCACCACGAGGCGTCATAACTCTTCCAGCTCAACACTGTTTACCTCCTAGGGCAGAGTTAAAATGGTTTAAATGATTTTTTCTGACTAGTGCCTTTTAGCAAGGTCCAATTCCACGGGATATGATTGCTCAACCCATGTCTAACCTTTCTTCTTTCCTCGGTCTTAAGACCGGTAGTAATCCTAGAAGAGCTACAGGTGGAGTTAAAAATGGAAATCAGGTTGAAATAAGCTATCTTGGAGTTTGGACGAGTTTTAATTTACCATGATTTCTGTGCATACAACTCAAAAATTATATGATGAAAATCCTAGACCAGACTAATTACTATATCATTTGTCACACAACTCCTATGTTTTGCTTACTGTAGGATAAATTCTGTCAAGGAACCTACCTCCATTTATCTAGTTTTTCTAATTTAAATGTATACTTTTTAGCAGATAATTCAAAGCGACGATGGACGTATCACTACTGACAATGAATGTTTGATGTTGGAACTTGAAGAGAAAAAAGGTCAAATAAAACGCTTACAGAGGATTATAGAGCATCAAAGAGAACTGTTTTTAAGGCAGTCGGAAGACACACAGCGAGATGGTGATCGAAGAATAGAATCAATTAAAGCTGATTATGAATGTACAATAAACCGAAATTATAAACTAATTGATGAACTAATTGAAGAGAAAAAAGTACTTCATACAAAATGTGAAGAATTTTTAGAAGAACTAAAGACAGTGACAAAGAAAACGAACGAAAAAATCAAAGCACTTGAAGAAAGGTTAGTTAGTAGAAGGTGATCTTTATTGTTACTTGGCTAAGATGATTGCTGATATGATGTGATAAAAAGGCAAAATCAAATTTCGACTCAATAGCCTAAACTACAGGCCATACAACTGTCACTATTTGTTGTTCTTAAAAATGTCACTGGTTCAGTGTAGTTGGTTTCTCGTAATCATAGAATTTTGCTTAATGATTTTGTTTTGATCGAATAAGAACGATCTCAATTTGGTTATCAAAAAACTACGAAACGGAACGGCTGCAACCTGTAAAACCAGCTCATGAACAATTAAATTTATACGCAATGATGGTTGAACTGTCATGCAAAATGCAGAAAACGTATATGGAATGCAATTTGTAACAAAATAAAAAATAAAAATCTAAATGAAATTATGCGTGGCCTTAAAAACGGCCTTCTATCGGTCTCTTGGTTCCAACTCTACATTCATTTCTCTTCCAGGGTTTTCCATCTTCCCATTCCCGTATTTCTTCGACAATCACCTCATAAAATAAGTAAAAAAACGTTAGATTCTCAGTTAGTAACTGAAATATGAACAAACCATTTTGCCTGTGATACCAAGTTTCGCTGCGTTCATGTGTTCCATTACACTACCTTAATCGCGCCACATATTAGACAATGGAATCCAAGGAATTGCTGTGGTGCGTCTCAACCACAAAACGAATGAAACACAGCATTGCAGCGAAAAATAATCCAGGTTCTTCCCTTAACAGTTTCACTTGGTGGCTGAGTAAGATGGCATATGTCACACAGTTCGTTGACATGAACATCTTCGTCTATGTTATTGTCTCTGTCATTGAATCCTTCTGAGTTTATTGAAACAACATCACCTTCTTCATAACTTAGCCCAGGTGCTGAGAATAATGTCAACACTGCTTGAGGCATTCTTCTGATTCTTATGGAAATGAGAGTCAGGGACCCCATAATAGCAGTATGTCACCCTTTCATGATTTCTGATAGCGCTCCTTAACTCTTCAAGCTATTGGAACGCTCGAAACAATACATCTGGTACTTTGTAAGTTATTTACCTTTCGAGAAAAAATGATCACTCGAGGAATATTTACGTTTTATATTACTTTTTGGAGAATAATAATCAATAATTACCATTTTAAAACTAATTATTTCATTGGACAAAACGGGATGAAATCGTGTTTAAGATGGGATAAAAAAATCTTTGATAAAAACAGTACAAAAATAACTGTGTGGTAAATAATATTCACTATATTCTTGTATTAAATTAACATTAACTATGCTCAGCAGGATACTCAGCATATTATTTGTTATAAAACTGGGTATTTTTCATATTGTGGTGTGTGCTACTGATGTCGACCAACATAAGTATTATGTTTCATCAATCGATAGTGAAATGCCTAGCGACACAAGGTTAAGTTCGAAAAGAGAAGAGAACGAGAACAGAGAATGATTGGTGTGGAAACGAAGGAGCACCAAGCAACGCGAATTAAAAAATTATTAAGAGGAGTAATCGGTTTAAAATTAAGACTTGCTTTTAATCTTCACAAAGGCTTGATTAGAACCTAATGGAAATTTTGTTTAGTCCTCATTTCGTGAATCTAACTCTTCAGTCAACTAGAAAGAAATCATTTACCTGTATAGTCAGTTCGCAACACAAAGTACTTTTTCAATACCGTGTTCATTGAAATTTTCAGAACCAAGCTCTATTTAAAAAGTTTAATATCGTTTACTCAAACAGCTAAAGCCTATAGTTTACTTAATAAAATGAACACTTGTTTACTTCAAGTACACTCCGTAATACATTCTTGTCTAAATTAAGCATTCGTTTAAATCTTGCTATTCAGATAGGTTTAAATTTGTAAGTGCTTCCACCTTTTATGTCTAATACTATTGTACATAGTCCAGGTTGAAGTATTCTCTTTAAGTTGTTAAATTTCCTTATAATTGATGAAGAGTTGAGCTTTAATTTGTGATCTTTTGAAATCTTGTAATACTAAGGTTATCTATCTAACATGGAACTATTTGGCCCAACTATTCTTTGAAGATGCTGCACTTTTCCTTTCGAGATCCAACAAAACACTGAGTTTGGAACTATGTGAAGTTGTTTATAGGAATTTTACATAATAGTCCTTAGTGATTCGACTTACGACTAGATAAGTAATACAAGTATGAAGTAATTGCGTCCATAACAATATATTTGAGAGTATTTAAAGTTATTGAATCTAGTTACTTAACAAATGTTGTGGAAGTAATAACAGATGTTATTTAGGATAAAATTAGAATCATAAGGAATGGAAAATCGCACCATAAACTAATGATTAATTTATTCTTACTAACGTTTCTGGAATTACGATGAATACATCTACGTAGAGATAAACAGGTTTAGCGCAGTATAGGATTTTTTTATACGATGGTTCTACAGTCAAAATACCTGGAAATGCACAATTATCAAAATGTATTGATCATAAACTAGACTCAAAGTTCACGTCTATCACTTTTAAGCTATATACTGATGCTTTTTCAAACTGTTGCATATCTGACCGTACGATATAAATTGATGATTATTGGATGCTTCTCTAATCTGGGTAATTCTATCTACCTTATTAATATGATTACCAACGAAATTTCAATGCATAGATTGCCGATGTGTCCTAATTTTTTATCCGTAGCCTAAACTAGACATTCATTCATCAAAGCATGAATGTTTCAGCGATGTTTGAACGAAAGAAAATCTTTGAAAATATAAAACTAGAATATATCTCTTTGTCGCCTATAGTTGACAATTAATAAAAGAAGTGTATATACTTAATTTACTGAATATAAAAAACTGTAGAAATTTTATTAACGAAAACTATTATGGAAAGGCTAAATTTATCGGTTACAGCCAATAAAGTTCACATAAGTAGTGTTTTCGATTATCTTTTAACTAGACACAAAGTCGAGATGCGAAAAGTAGAGGCCAAACATTTAGCTGCGGAAAAGCTGCGCCGGGAAAAGTGGGAGACAGAAAAAGCAAAACATTTTAAAGTGAGTAGTTTTTTGTATGGCCTTTATTGCATTTATCTGCCAATATACATCGCGTTATGTTACATTACCTACAATATTATAGAAGTATTTCACAGTAATGTTTTAAGTGTATGGAAAGCGGTTAGAGATAGCATTCATTGTGAATGTGTTAGAGTAATGCTGACGCGTGTTTACTGATGATGATTGAGTGTTCTTTAAATCTTGGTATCTGATCATTAAAAGGTCCTATTAATACTCCAGATAACTGTTCACTTCATTTCAGAAGCATACAAAGAGGGAAGTCTGTAGAATATAACCTGTATACAATTTGATATGGTGCTTTAAGTCTGTGTGGATTAGATGCAAAGGGTCTTTCATGTGTTCGAATAAAATAAGCAGTTATTTTTTATTGACAGTTATCATATACTTTTTTAAAGAAATAGGTCATTTAAAGTAGTTGCTCGTTTTCTTCATTTTCCCTTATTCTACATATGATCAGTGTTTTATAAGGACTATTTAACTAAGAAATCCAAGATATCAGGGAATTTTAGTTAAACTTTATTATCTATTCACATTTGCAGTACTGACAAGTTATTCAATGGCTATCCATATTGGTGCTAAAAATTTGATATTGGATATGATTATAAAGTAATTGAATGTATTTATGTTTAGTTATGCATAAAAAGAAATTAAAAAATGGATATCCTGATTCACGACACTGAGGTGGTCGGAAATCACTTAATAAAAATTCCAAACGCTTTATAGTAGCTGATACTATATCAAACCTAAATACGATATTCTAGCTTCTCAACAGACTAATTTATTCATTCTTCTTAAACTACATTTTGACCTTGTCACTTATTCGGTTATTAACCCTGACCGTTTATATATGGTCGTACGTGTGCCAATTACTTATCCTATTTATTAAGTGTCTGTAACATATTTTTGTCTGAATATAAATATTGATCAATACGAGTTAGTTAATTCGCCTTATCCACTGAGTGTCATTTCGTTTTGCTTCGCTCTCTCCTCTACGCTTCCTTCTCTTAGTTTTGCGATTGTTTGTTCAGATCAATGAGTGTACAAAATATACGTATTCAAACTCCATTCTCGCATTTGACTTATTTAATTCCGTTCTTCATCAACGCGATATGAGTCGATAATTGTATATGAAGACTATATATGAATATTTTCGATAACAACCATCATACGATCCAGTTGGAGTCATATGATGAGCCGCTAAAAATCTACATCTTACAAGCCAAATTTAGTTTGTATTTTGGTTTAATTTTCGAGACACCCGGGTGGACGTGTTTTATTTCTTACCGGAAAATAATTCCTTAGATCATTTTATTCACTTTTTAATCAAACTGAATACATATTCATAAATGTTCGTGTTTCATTCAGGAAGTGGGGGATAACTTTATGAAACGTCCACTGATACAATAGAACTTTTATCATGGAGATAGTTTACTTACACAAGTGTCTATGGAGTTAATTTGTAAATGATTTGCATTTTGTTACTATTCACAACATAGACTATAAAGGACAAGTGATGAACAGAATCAAATGAGAATTTGAGCATAATTGAATTCGCTCATATTTTATATAAGAAAAAGGGTCATATCTTGATATTTTCCTGTATTAATTTCATTTTGGTTTAATAGGAAGTTACTATTCGTGGGATGGAAAATGAAGTAGCCCAAATGATCGCAAATCACAAGGCTGAAATGGCAAGTTTGCGTCAGTCATGCGCTCAACAAATTCAAGCAGCTGATGTACGCGCCTATCAAGCTTATATGGGTCACATTGAAGAACTAAAACAGACGTTGATAAAAGAAAAAGATGAAGCCTGCTGTAGAGAAAGAGAACTTGTTGAACAACGGTAGTTAGATAGCCTTTTTGTAATTACTAATACTTTCTTATTGAAGTCGCAAATCGAACAAAGTTAGACAACCATTAAAAACCTGGAATTAATGGACGGCCATTTTGTGAATGTGTATTAGAAACTCATTTTAAGCAAGAACTATAACTATAACTGCCGATTTTTTTTATGTGAATTATGTGATCTTTTGTGAGACAAATTTAAAAAGCTGAGATTTCCAAATTTTTTTACCTAAAAAGGATGTTTTAATAAGTAGCAAACTGCGATCATAAGATTATTATTTTGGTATACCTTCAGATGGGTTTTGGTATAGTTAGAATATGATATGGACTCTCAAGCTCCTTTCATGACTAATTCATTTCCGCTACTGTAATCGCCTTTGAACTATCAGACTCAAGGTTCTCAATCAACGATTACTGGCATTTGATGACACCAAACCAGAAAGTCTGTATTCTGAGAATTCATTTGATGGAATTGGTCAGGAAGTTGATAAGCTAGTAGTTTTCGACCGAGTTATAGTATACAATTTGTAGAATATTACTGCCTACAGAGCCGGAGGGTTTCAGCATTATTGACATGCAGTTTTGCTTGGAGATTTATTTGCTCATTTGTATCATTCAATCTGGAACTCATTCTATACCTATAGATCTTTCATGAGTTTTAGTCACGAGACAAGTGCAAGATATTTCATTCTTTATTAGTTAGCTATCTGTTATGAACTGTCTGATGATACATAACCGCCTGAATTATGTTAGCCTAAGTTTACTTTAAGAAGATATAATGATTTGTTAATTTTGTCCACGTTACAGTACTCTCTTCATAGGTGCAGCTGGATGATGAGATCGTTTTTATCAATTTTATCGGTAACCCTATTCAGTTAAATTAATCTACGAAAGTTTTCGATAGCGTTGTTTGTCAGGTTATTCATTGTAATAGCTCAATCTCTTATTGCTTCTAACACTATGGTGTTATTCCGATTTCGACTCCATTTTTATCAGTACGTAACAATGAACTAAAACGAGGCTGTGAGACCATTTTCAGCCAACCTATATCTTCTTTAAGCACGTATCCATTATCAGTAATGGTTTAACTTAAACAGTAAAATTACTTAGTCATCTTTATTAGTTTCTTTCTTTATGTTATTAGGTTTATAAATACTGTTCCGCATAGGAAGATTTACTCATCTTAAAGATTTTAAAATACAGAATTTTGCTTAATTGTAGATTAAATCAAACTTTAGCAGAAGAACGTAATTCTTTGGAAGCTCATAGACGTAGATTGTTAGATGAGATTTCTGATGAACGTGAAAGATTGGCATTGACTGCATCTAAACAAAGGGCTGAAATGGATACTCTTAGGAACAATTTAGAAGTTGCCTTGACACAAGCTAACGAACAACATAAAATGGAAATTGAACAATTAAGGGCGGATTTGATTCAAAGACATAAGGTCAGTTTTTATTATATACGTATAATATTATTGCTTCATGGTTATTTATTTTATATTCTTGATCAAAATTCAAGCAATAAGGAATTTAGCAAGTACCGTTGACTAATTTCATGTAACAGATGAGAACAGAGAATGCTTGGTCATCTTTATTCAATTTATTTTCTTCCATTAATTTAAAATGATATATTTATGTCGAAAATTTCAAACTAAGTGGTTCTGAGGATTCTTAACGAACAACTGTCAATCAACTAAAAAGTTCTAAGTAAGACGTTCTTCTTGTTGAGTTAGCAAGACTTTGTAACAAAATTTCACTAGGGATATCTTAAATTATTTGAAGATGCAGACCAAAAGTTCTTCGGTTATTAGATTGGTTGAGAAATGCCACGAGGGATAGGTCACTATGTATATCCTGAGAATTACTAGAACTAAACAGCCTAGAGAAATCCAGTAATTGTCGTCCTTGTTTAGAGTTAGTAAACAAAACTGTTCACCGAATAATACAAAAATGCTCTGATAAACATCCCGTAGCTGAGTACCCTGGTTATACTAATGGCACAAACTTTTCAGAGACTCTTGGATTTCCACGATTATTTACAAGTTATTTCTCAGTTGTTTATGGAAGATTTATCATATATTGCAGTCATTCTTCTTCTCTGTGAACAAGTTAGAAAGTCTTTACTATTTTGATTGGTCCATGTTTCCTGTGAGGAGTGTGGTGGGAAGTTAAATTTATAAATGTATTCGTTATTGACTATTTTTTTAAAATTACTCATATAATTGGTTTGATCTCACTTTCTGAGCATGTGATTCAAACTAATCAGTTAATCACCCTTAGACCAAAACCCACCGATTTTAATACAATCTGGATAGTTAAATCCTATGGTCAACCGGTGGGTTTTTTTGGATTGCACAAGCTGTAATTTAATTTTTTTTAATTGTCTCAACCGGTTCAGCCCTTTTTGAAAAGTGAATTTTTTAAGTAACTAAACTGTAATTATTGTTGAATGAAAATGAAAAATAATCACGAGAAGACAGAGTATGAGTAAAGGATCTCCTCAATGATGAAAATCTAAATGATCATAGATAAATAAAGTTTTAAACAAGTCTATACTGAACGCTTGTTCAAACAAGTTCAACAATTGATTTTTTTATAATGAGATTGTGAATCACTTAATATGGAACATCAACAGAATATTGCAAATGAGGTGGGTGTTCTTGTTTGCTATTAAAATTAAGAATTCAGTGAACACAAAGCTTTTGGATATGAAAATAGTAATAGTTTTGTGTTTTATTAAACTTTGAGTACATATGACTAAATTGATCTCATCGACGTATCTATTAAAAGGAAACAGTAGGATAGTGTGCTGTGATATCAATTAAAATTAACTGGAAATATATACATTGTTTACCTATTCAAATAATTAATTTCATACATCCCGTTGTACATTATCATGCAGAAAACCAACGTTTGAACGTGGTTGGACAAGAATTTAGTATAGGCTGTCTGTGAGATTAATTCGAAAATGCTCTTTACATCTATTAACACTGAATATCGGAAGACATATTTTCGTGAGAATGAAAGATTTTAACCTTGAGAATTATGATTTGGTATAATTTTATTAAACAAAACCATAACTGTTTTAATTATTATTCAGCATTATTATACTCTGAATAAAATAATAATCCCTTTTCTTGCATTATTAAACTTAACACGTAAATGTAATGATTTCTAACTAACTAACCAATTATAACATAGCCTCAGATCACCACCTAGCTGTGGCCAATTTAAAACTGAAGCTAAAGAAAAACTGGACAACTGGATAAACAGCATTAAAAAGGTTCAATACAGCCTTCCATCGAGATATTGACAAACTCAACCAATTCAAGATAACTCTCAACAATAGGTTCCACGCCTTGCAGGATCTACTGAAAGCAGAAAAAACTACTATAGAGGACAACTGGAAAGGGATCAAAGAAGCATTAACTTCAACGTTTCAAGAGGTGCTGGGCCGCAAGAAGTATCATCATGAGGAATGGATCTCCATCGGAACCCTGTACAAGATTCAAAAAAACGAACAAGAAAACAGCAACTAACAACAACTGAACCAGAACAGAGAAAGTTCAAGAACAAGCTGAGTACATAGAAGCAAACAAGCAAGTGAAGAAGAGCATTAGAGTCTACAAGCAGAAATACGTGGAAGAACTAGCAACGACGGCGGAACAAGCTGCAAGAGAAAGAAATATGAAACAGCTTTACGTTACAACGAAGGAACTAGCAGGGAAATATAGTAAACCAGAGAGACCGGTCAAGGACAAAGAAGGCAGGCCAATCACTGAAATTCAACAACAGCGGAACAGATGGGTAGAGTATTCCTGAATAGGCCGGCTCCAATGAACCCACCGGACATCGAAGCAGCACACACAGATCTTTCTATAGATGTCAATCCACCAATGACGGAAGAAATCAGAATGGCCATCAGACAAATCAAGAGCGGGAGAGCAGCAGGACCTGACAACATACCAGCTGAAGCACTGAAGTCAGACATCAAAGTAACTACAAACATGCTTTACCCTCTATTCAAAACGATTTGGGAGGAGGAACAAGTGTCGATTGACTGGAAAGAAGAACACGTCATCAAGATACCGAAGAACCGAGATCTGAGCAAATATGAAAACTATAGAGGAATCACACTACTATCAGTACCAGGCAAAGTTACTAACAGAGTGTTGGTGAACCGGATAAAAGATTCAGTAGACACCCAACTTCGAGATCAACAGACTGGATTCTATGAGGATCGGCCGTGATCAGACCAAATCGCGTCACTACGGATCATCGTCGAACAATCAATTAAATGGAATTCGTCACTATACATCAACTTCCTTGATTATGAGAAAACAGTTGACAGTGTGGATAGGAGAACCTTATGGAAACACCTACGACATTATGGTGAACCCGAGAAGATCGTCAACATCACCTGGAATTCATACGACGGACTACACTGCAATGTGGTGCATGGAGGACAGCTGACAAATGCATTCCAAGTGAGGAACGGAGTCAGAAAAGGCTGCTTGCTGCCTCCCTTCCTCTTTCTTCTGGTAGTTGGCTGGATTGTGAAGAGCTCGACATCAGGTGGGAAGCACGGAATAAAATGGACAGGTTGGGTGGAACTAGACGATTTGGATTTCGTAGATGACCTGGTTCTTCTGTCCTATGCACACGAACAAATGCAGATGGAGACAACTAGTGTGGCAGCAGCCTCTGCATCAGTAGGCCTCACCGTACACAAGGGGAAAAGCAGGATCCTTAAATATAACACAGAGAACACCAACTCAACCTCACTTGGTTGAGAATCTCTGGAAGATGTGGAAACACTTACGTATCTGGGAAGCAGCACCGATGAACGAGGAGGTTCAAATGCAGACGTAAATGAGAGAATTGGCAAAGTAAGAGCCTCATCCCTTCAATTGAAGAACATATGGGACTCAAAACAACTTTCAACCAATATCGAAGTCAGAATCTTCAACAAGAACGTCAAGGCAGTCCTAGTGTATGAAGCTGAGACGTGAAGAACTACTACAACCATCATCAAAAAGATACAAGTATTTGTAAACAGTTGTCTACGCAAGATAATCAGTGTCCGTTGACCGGATACCATCAACAACAGTCTACTGTGGGAGAGAACAAACCTGTTTCTATCAGAAGAGGAAATTAGGAAAAGACGATGGGAATGGATAGGACATACACTACGCAAATCAACAAACTGCATCATGAGGCAAGCCCTAACTTGGAATCGTGAAGGGAGACGGAGAAGTGGAAGGCAAAAGAACACATTATGTCGGGAAATAGAAGCAAATATGGAAAGGGTGAATAACAAATGGAAAGAGCTGGAAAGGATTGCCCAGAAAAGGGTTGGATGGAGAATGCTGGTGGGCGGCCTATGTTCCTCCGTGAGGGGTAATAGGAGTAAGTATGTACTTGGAATAAACTTACGAGACAATAGCCATGACTACACTTTAATATTGACAATCTATAATCATCGATTTTATTGTTCTGGTTACAAACATTTCCTTTAGCCGGCTAAATAATTTCTTGATTGATTAGAGGTTATAGATGGGTAAGAGCATATTCAAGAAATTTTATTGCACCAGAAATAATTTCCATAGGAGGCATGATACTCTCGAGTCGAAGGACCATCTGGGAAAGGTTTATGCTTGCTTTACCAAACATTTGGTAAGATGGAAGGTAATGACACAAGACTACCTAGTCCTTATCAACATTTTGAGTCTATCATTACTTTACCAAAATTGGATTCACGTTTTTTTGAAAATGTTTTCGTCCGTTGCCTTAAAATACGTGTACACTTGTTGTGAACAGTCGGAAACTATTATTTAGGAGAAAAATGTGTCCAATTCATAAACTTTTCTATAATCTGTTCCAGACTGGCATAACGGTCTATACTTTATTTTTAAATAGAAGAGCAAATCTACCTAAAACAACTGTAAGATTCCCCATTGACTTTATTTTTAACATTTGAATAGGTGTGAATTCCTATTTATGTACATCACATAACTGAGGACAAAACTTCTTAAAAATGTCAAGTAAATAAATTGCTTCTCCTTCCCCCTCTTTTTATTTACTTACAAGGATGAAATAGCTGAGTTGAATCAACGTAATTTGGCTGAACGTACAGCATGGGAAGAACATACTAAGTCATTGTTGGAATCCCAGTATACTTCTAGAGAGACTATACTGAAGGAACAGCTCAAGAAAGAACGAGATCGCTTGTTAGAATCTGCAGTTCAACGTCTTGAAGCTGAAGCAAATGAAGCAAGGTTAGAAACTGATCGTCAAGCAGAACTGAAGGTGAAGTAAGTTCACATTTTTGAACCACTTCAATTTACTTCCTCTTTAATTCAGACGTGTACGTGAAAAATTCCAAGCTGAAATAGAGGAACTTGAAAGATCAGAGAGACAAGCAATGGAGAAATATTGTCTGATGAAGGTCTGTAAAATGTTTGCACTCTAAAATCTGTGATTATTATTGGTTTATTTGAAACCTGTTGATGAATTAGAAAGTTACGTTCACCGACTGATAAATATCCGTATACTTTTAAACCAGATACATTTTATTTGTGAACTTTAACTTTTCAGTTCGATAAAGAATTCAACTCATTGTTGGATGCAAAGAATTTTGTAACCAAAGACTACTGTCCATATTAGCAAACTACTTGCAACAGTATTTTATAAATACATTACAGTAAACATTTATCTCTTGTATTCACTCTTTATAGACTCAATTTTTAGATAAAGAGCATGAAGCAGATAGACTTCGGTCACAGTTGACGCAGAAAGATCAGGAGTTTGCTGAAGTTCGCTTATTATACGAAAAACTTAATCAAGAACGCCAAAACATTTCAGATGTAATACGTCAGGAATTTGCTGATCGCCTTGTTTATGTGGAAGAAGAAAATAGGTCGATGAAACGTGAGTTAGCCGAACTGAAGGCCCGTTTAAAGGCTGAACAAGAAAGACATGAAAAAGAAATTGATGCTATTAAGAAATTGAACAACTCAGAAATAGAAACAGTTCACCTAAAGTAATGGCAAACTTTGATTTTGAGTTTCCTTGTTTGTTTTTTCCATTTTTTATAGCCCAATTATTTCATGTCATTCATGAGACCTGATATTAGATGCTTGGAAAAGTCCTAACAAGGTGCTGTACTATAAACTTCGGTGATGAGTTAGTAGTAGCTTTTAATCTGCAGCACTTATAACTGAGGAACATTGGATTTTAAATTTTATATTTTTGTTAGGTTCCAACTTTGCATGAAAAGTGAAAATATTTGTATTTGCATTTTCTCGTTGTTGGTATAAAGGACACCTACAGGTCAAATTCTCTTAAGATGTGTGCACCTTGAGGGGGCTGCCTCGATATTACCTTTGTCTCAGAATTTAGTATGTTTGGTTGCATATTTGACCTATTACTTGGATTTATTTACATTAATAATGGGATAATACAAACTCCTAAAAATGAATTCATATATGTTGAACTGGGTTAATTGAATTCAGTAGCTTATTGGACAAGCCTTTGAAATTTAAAGCAATACATACTGGGTTTGAGTCCTAGTCTGAACATCCAGGCTGGGATGCAAGTAAATCCTAATGGCGAACCCCAAATAGGACGAAACGCGCAGCTTGGATTTCACTGCAGCCTACAACTCAAAAAGTGAAAATAGTTTACTCAATGAGATTAAACTGTTAGAAGTAAAACGTTCTTGTTTTTTATCTAAAATAATACAACCAATTGTTTTGCAAACTGTGCACTGCCAATTGTTTTGAGTATACCTTGCATTTATAACTATGTGTTTGTAAAGCGGTTGGAACTCAATGTTCCACATGGAATGTAGTTTTAAAAGTGAACAACAAAAACTGTATCCGTAAAACAGACAAAATTTTCCTTCTTACCCTTTATAGAATTAAAGAGATCATTAAAAAGAAAGAGGAAAAATTCGCCATATTGCGAGAAAGCTTTCAAAATGAACTTGAGAAGAAGGATCGTGAATTGGACGCAGCCAATCAGAGAGCTCAACATTTGGAAGAGTTGATAGACCATCAAAGCAAACAGTTTCTACAAGCCAATCACTAATACTTTTTAATAAAAAGTATTCTGAAAATGTTTCATTTGAAAATACTCAATCGTTGCTTAATTATCTCTACCATGGCAACCTTGTCTACCAAGTTTTTTAAATTAAAAACTGCTGCATGCTATAGGTTTTTGATTATAGCATTCTACGTTATTTCTAGAACAAAAAATCATTCTAATAAGCCTACCGACCAAAATATTTTAACTCGAAAATTGATCCATTCCTTTTACGTGATTACTGGCCTGTATGGCTTTCCATAAAAAGCACCACAACAGTGAAATATGAACATTTAGTTATTTACTGGACAGATAATTAGAAAAACAAGTATACAAATATAACTCTACACAAAAATTTCTGGGTTTAAGGTTTCACACGTCGTATGAGAATAGGAAATCAACAAAAGTGAAAAACAAAATGAAATAAACCGTTTTAAGTTCTGGAAAATATGAATGTAAGGAAGAAATAAACTACCACTTACTAATAGTTCTATTATTATCAAACCGGAAATGAAAATTCAAAGAGGAGTCTACTTACTTAAGTAAAAGCAGAGAAATGAAACCAACTGTTGATTTTATGAAATAAAATATACTCGCATACGTTTTAAGTTTATATTTTCATGCTCCCAGTATGTCTGGGAAAATAAGGCGATTGCTTTAAATGTTCAGTTCTTAGTAAAAAAACATGAGGGTTCAAGAAAAATAAAGTAGTCCAAGATACTGTGTGAAGTCAAATAATGTTTACTCCACTTCTGTCACATTCATAAAGTGTACGTATTTTTAACAAAAACCTAACAGGACTCATAAAATAATACCACCATTTTCAGGTTTGGCTTTATTACTTAACATAATAAACCAACGTTCATAAACGTTTGGCGACCCAACGTCAACATAGTCATTAAAAATAATTTGAATAGTCATGTTAGACAGTTACAACTTATCAGTATTGGGGGATATGTGATTATAAAATTTTCATAATTTGAACCACAGACGGATTAAAGCTAAGCATTAAAACCGTTGGATGTAGGTTCAGTGATCTAGAGACAGTATTTGCAATCGACAATTAGGGTCTTAAGTTCGACTTTGGCATGCGAGGTCAGAGAAGTGCACTGCTGTGATGTTCCACATTAGGAAAAATTGACCGTTCAATGCTTCCAGTTTTCAATGGTTGTCATTTCGCGATTCAAAGCATGAAAATTAGAAATCAGATTATCACATTTTTATAGTTTAAGAGTTTTAGGTCCATTAATTGCCTTCTGGTATTTGGCTTCTCGGGGATTTTATGGATCTATTTGGTTACGTCCAACCCTCGCCTTCTGATTTATTTGGCACGTGTTTCTTGGTAGCGGTGTTCACAGTTAACCTCAACTCGACGCCAAGCTACAAGCTAAACACTCAAACACAGTACTCGTAGCAGGTGACTCTAATGCCGAAGTCAATAGCTTAAACCAAACCGAAAGAGCTTTAGGCGGGTATTTTAGTATTCCGGCCCAGCGAAAAAATAATGGTGATCGTCTACTACAGACGATCGTTTATTGTTAGCAAGCACTAATTTACTTATAAGGAGAGACACTGTCTATCATGGCGGCGACCACGTGTATCAAACCAACGATGGACTCAAGTAGACCATATTGCCATCATTCGTCATTGGGATTCTCGATATAAGGCTGCCACTCATTCTGGAATATACATTTACACTCTGATCAAGCTCTAATACGAGCACGAATTTGCATTCGCCTCAATCGACACAGAAAAATCGCACTAAGAAGACCCATTAGAATTGAACTCAGTGACAAGAAAGCCAAAAATAGATTCCAGGAATAACTGAGGTCGCGCTTAGGTAGTTCTGAAAACGAGGCTGACCCAGACGTTGCTTCGAAGGATGTCCGAACAGCTGTGGAAATAGGAGTGACATCTATTGGTGATTCAAAGCAAAGGGTTACAAAACACCAATCGATTTCTACTAAGTCTATTTCACTGATAAGTTCTCGTAAACTCATCTCATCAGGCTCTGAACACGATGATGAGCGAAAACGAATAAGATCTAGATTAGGCAAAAGTCTTGTAGTGACTCACGTTCATCACGAGAACACGACTGATTTAATAAAAACAATTATTATTATTACCAACTGTACCAGTGTTTGTTTTAACGTGCTTTTGCTTGATTGTGCTAATGACAGCTATTTTGTGCTTCCATTCTTGTACTTACACACTTTGATTGTAACTTCGCGCGAATTCGGTTACCTTCTGTAACCAAGGTTGTATCCTGGCACGATCTTGGTATCCTCTCGATACCACGAGATCGCCAGCAAATATACACCTCGATTTGGTCCATTAATTGCCTTCTGGTATTTGGCTTCTCGGGGATTTTATGGATCTATTTGGTAACGTCCAACCCTCGCCTTCTGATTTATTTGGCACGTGTTTCTTGGTAGCGGTGTTCACAGTTAACCTCAACTCGACGCCACGCTACAGTCTAAGAAACGAACGTCAGTAGGGATGGGTAGCTAAAGGAAAAGTTGTGGAAAAGGCCGCGGCTGTAGGTAACACGAGACGCCTTTTCAGACTAGTAAAAGTTGCTGGAATTAGTAAGTCAAGTGTAAGTGAGACGATCTCGGATAAAGACGATACTATTATCTGCTATCAGCCCAGACATTTAGAACGATGGGCGGAGCACCTTTAAGAGCAGTTTGGCTGGCCTTCAGCTGTTCTACAAACACCCTTCACTCCCAAACAGCTTGAATGGAACATTGAAGTAGGTTCCCCAGCTCTAGCTGGAGTTCAAGAGGCTAATAGTTAATCTGAAACGAGGAAGGGCAGCTGGTCCAGATGGATTGGCTCCAGAGGTCTTTAAGGATGGTGGTCCAATTTTAGTGATTAGATTGACTAATGTTTTAGCTAAGATCTGGGAGTTAGACTTTATTACATCTGACTGGTCACAATCACTTATCGTCCCATTACATAAGAGAAAGTTAAAATCATCCTGTGACAACCATAGAGGGATTATTTTAACTAATAATAGCCTTAATAATTGATGAAAAATTCCGATTATATTAAAAATACAATTGTATGAACGAAGAATATTCTTTTTAATAATTTCTCATCAGGTTCTACAATTATAAATCCAGATTAATAATCCATAAAATTGGCCAGATTTAAGGCAAAATACATCATTTGGAAATTGTAATATATGAATCAGGAATTTTTTGTTATATAAATAAAATTGTTAATGCTGGGGCTGGCTAATATAAAGTGTTAACTTGAATCAGACGCTTAACTAAGACTCATGAACTGCAAACACGAGAGAATCAAGCTGGCTTCAGACCTGGTCATGGCTGCATCGACTACATATTCACCATTCGTCAGGTTCTAGAACACAGGCATACTTATCGGCGTCCGACAATGGTGGTCTTTCTTGACTTAAAAGCAGCATTTGAATCTGTAGACCGAGAGGTTCTTTGGCAGTGTGTGTCATTGAAAGGCGTACCTCAGAAGTACATGAACCTTGTGAAGGCTCTTTACTCGAACACTAATAGTTGAGTCAGAGCTTATGGCGAACTGTCATATGACTTTTCAACCTCAAGTGGTGTCAGACAATGCTGACCAATCTCTTCATTTCTGTTTAATTTCGTCGTAGGCCTACTGCTGTAAAATGACGTTCTCGTCATCTGGATTTTCACGACGCGGTGTTTCACCAGGAGGTCTACTTATCGACTTAGAATACTCAAATGACATGGTTCTGTTTGGTGAAGACGCTGATAAAGTGCAAAATCTTTTGGTGATACTGAGCAACAATGCCAGGATGTTTGTGAAGCGTTTCTCACCCTTCAATTGCAAGATGTTACTCCAGGATTGGTCTGCATCGATACCTGAACTAAGGATAGGGAGTGAAGTAGTCAAACGTGTAGACAACTTCACTTATCTTGGAAGTTTGATCAGCCGTAATGGGTTGGTGCCTGAGGAAATCTCTGTATGGATCCAGAATGCTCGTTTGACCTTTGCAGTCTTACGTCGCCTATAGCAAAGGACGAGTATACTGCTCAGCAATTCGTTCTACTCTACTTTACGGCTGCGAAACGTGGCCATTAAGAGTAGGAGATACTTGTAATCCTCTAATATTTGATCACAGATGTCTTAAAAATATTGCCAGCATTAGCTGGGGTTACCGGGTTAATAATAGTGGGGTTAGACGCAGGGTATTAGGGAATGATGGTAAATGATTTGATGAGGTTGTTAATCTTCGTTGGCTGGGATGGCTGGCAAAGTATCACGCATGCCCAACCACCAATTACCACTGTGCGCTCGACTATCATAACCAATGATTATAGACTCTGTGTGACTGGCTCAGGATGGATCACAATGGCGTTGGTGTATACACTCTTTATCTTTCCTTAAACGGTGAGATTAAAATCACTTCATATCTTTCTTTCTACGAACTAATTCTTTCTTTCTGCGTTATATCCTTAAATGCAATCTTCGTTTTACATGTATTACTACCATTGATATAACTGCTCCCATGAATTTGGCGTTTGTCTTGTTGTGCTAATGATGTGTGGCAAATTGGACCGATGCATGTATGCACCGGATCATATGTTGTAGCTGACTGACTGACTGACTATAATGACAATTAGATGTATTGACCTTTTTCTGTTAACCAATGATTTCCGAAATAGTGATATATAAGGATGGTAGAACTAGATGAGCTCAGATGGACGTACTATATTTAAAATTTGTAACCAACAACCCATCCAGTACAAAGAAACCACTATTTCGAACAAATACGACAAACGCCACCCCTTAAATGGGAATGCAGATTCCGGTAATGTGTTGTACGTCTTTTCCTTAGCTCAATGATGTATGTTCGACTTTGTATTGAGTTCAGTCTCTGGGTGGTCCAGAATATACTCATTTGTATTGGAATTAGCGGAAACTAGAAGGGACCCACTTCGGTTACCGCAACGTATTCAGCCATCGTGACGGCAGTCACAACCACGAAAACCATGGTTTGCAGAATTACCACAACTGACCTTCGTTTTCAAGGTCTTGAAATTTTTTGCTCGCACATAGGAATGAGAAGGCTTTTGAGTCATGCTCAATTTTTCTCACTTCAATTCCGTGGCCAGCAAGTTGTCAAGTACTTCATTAGAACCATCTTCAGTGGACAATAAGGAAAGCTGTCCCAGAAACGTTTCAAATTTTCTAGACTCAGGATAAGTGAT